ACACTTTTGTCCAGGGTTAGATGCTGACTTTGCTAACTGTGCAACTCAAGCTTTTCACTGTTACCTAAACACAGTTCTTTCTATTTATCTTTGATTTGGTAAATGCAAACATCTGTTCTGTGTATTCCCACTGCTTGTTGCTCCTGGCTGAGTTGATTTCATCCTTCTCTGTTTCCCCCATCGTACTGTCCGGATGGGATCCACAGATGCAACTGTTGCAGAGCCTGGGGCGAGACGCCAGTCGATCCAACACAACATAACATTTCAAAGCAGTACTCTGTGGCTCCAAGCCCAGTGTACCCCACTGTCACTGGGTTGTTGACCTCACATATTTTATGAGGTCTTTGGTGCTTAGTGGGCTGTCACGGCTCATTAAATGCTTTAGGAATGAACTTGCACAGCAGACTCCATCAGTGATTAATAAACAGAAAAAGAAAGAGATTCAGGCAGAGGTTCTGCGATCAGACAGTGTTCTTAATTTTACGTACTTACTGTCATTTTAGAGGCCTCTAAATAGACTTGTTAGCACAAATTCAGTTCAATTCAATTCAATTCAATTATACTTTTTTGATCCCAGAGGGAAATTAGGTATTAAGCTGGGTTCACACCGAATGTGTTTTGAGCAGCAACAACACACCCAACGCCTCTAGTTGGACGCACTATGTTCAGACTGGGACAGAGACTAGACGCGTGTCTGCAGAGGGAGGAGCGTCTTGTTTTTATTTTTTTATTTTTTTTCTGGTCAGTCTTAATGGCGGATGAAAAAAAATGAAATAAAGAAAATAGCTTTGCGTTATTTACTGAAAGCAAGCGAACGTTGCGCACACCAAATAATTAATTAACCAGATAATTTATAGGTGGTCTGTTTGGTGAGTTTCACCACTCCAGGAGCTGCGAGCTGACAAACTATTTTTTTTGTCCCGAGCCCAGTTTAACCCCCTAATTTACACTACATGCGTTCCGGCTCCACTCTGCTCCGGTCCGACCTCCGCAGCAAATATGCACCCATTATAATCAATGAGAGTATTTACACTGGCTGCGCAGGGCGGCGGTGAGTGGACGGCGATCCGGCAAAATTAGAACAGATCTTATTTTTGCCGGATGCCGGAGCTGAGTCAATTTTTAAAGATTACGTCACACCAACAGAAAAAGAAATGAGCACAACATCCGTATTTTCAAAATAAGACAAGATTAGGTGGGATAATTTGTCGGAATAATGTCGAAATTGCAGCTATATTAATAAATATATGGATATATTTCAACACAAATGCTGTCAGAATGTATCGTTCTGTTTGGGAAGCAGATGGAAACGTAGCATGAAGCATATGTACACACATGATACAAATGGATTTTATTTTGAAATCATAAGTTTCAGAAACTTGACAGCGAGACAGTTTCAACCAAATCAATGTTTTCAGCTGTGTTTGTAGTTCGTCTTTCACAGAATTAATTATTTTTTGCTCTGACTCACACATCACTGAATTTATCGCGCGATCTCCTTCCTCCACACACTCTGTCGGACCGGAGCGGAGGCTGTATAAATTGAGACACAAATGAACAGCTGCGACCTGCACACCGCAGCGCAGCTGAGCGGAGATGCATGTAGTATAAATCCGGGGTCAGGAAACCGTCACGTGGTAAAATGATTCTCTCTGATTGGTTGACGCGGCGCGTCAAGCAGCAAAAGTTCAGTATTTTGAACTCCAGCATCGGCTGCTTTGGATGTGCCGCATGCATGGAAAACTCTACCGCACCTACCGCTACCTTGTGCGCGCCTCACTAAATGGGCTAAATGTGCCGTGCTGTCCCTAGACGCCTGCCCACCATAGACTTTGCATTTAAACTGGATGCTTTGGCTGCTCAAAATGCATCTGGTATGTACCCGGCTTTAGGTATTAGGTATACCCAAGAGGGCTGGTTAGGTATTAGGTAGCTAAATTCAAGATATCAAAAATTTTCCTTATTTAGGATACACAGATTTTTGGATTTTTGATGAACTCCTGTTTCTGATGCTTTTGAAGAAAGAGGAAAACACTCATGTTACTTATTACTTGTGCAAACTAGCTTCATACATAGTTTATACATAGCTGTTCTTCTCATCCCCATCAGCAGTTATTTATAGTTGGACTGTACATCATTGCCTAATATGCTGCCTGTCGGGCACAACTGATGAACTGTGGAGATTTTTGATGAAACAGCATGTGAGAAACCAAACCTCTGCTTCTGTAGAAGGTGGCATTGGTCACAATACTCATTGAATTGACTAGATATATTTTATTTTATCCAAATTATCTTCCAAGTAGACTTGTTCTCAATGATATTACAAAAAGCAATTAATGTTAAAGAGTGAAAACGTATTTGATAGATAATATAAGGCCTTACATGTCAAGAACAATGTCCCAGAGTAGACTTCCCCTTTTGACTTTTAAATGAGCTAGCAGTATGGCTGTGTTCTTCCTCATCCATCTCCACTTTGTTCCACACCACAGTCGGCCAGTCTGCTCTCAGGGTAGCTTGTAGCAAACCATCACTGCCGTCTGCCATTGGTAAGAGGAAGTTCCCATGGCGATGGGTCGCTCTGAGCTATAAATATGTTGATCGGTCAAAGAGCAGTTGAAGATGCCTGCAGCAGCAGTGAGAATTTATCTTGAATTGTTCCCATGCTGCCATATAGTCAGAAGCTGGGTGAAGCTAAAAATATCCACCATAGAAAGTTATTAGCCTTGGGTTTCAGATAATGTAGTTGAATTAAATGTACTGAACTGAGCTGAGCTTAACTTTTATTTTAATATGCTTTCTTAATGTTTGCGAAACTCAGGCTGTTACTTTTGTACTTTAGTTTTACTTGTCTAACTTTAAGTTAGTTACACACTATAGCAAGTTGACTGATGACTCAAAAGGATAAAAAATGTTCCTATGATCTTGCTACAACATTTAAGCTGCATTACCTCCTTTTTAAGACCATACACCCTGTATGTATATAAATGAATTTGTGTTAATTCCAAGCGTTGACAGTGTAGCGAGTTGGTAGGAAAGAAACAGAAAGGGTGACAACTATTTGTGTCCTGCAATATACGTTACAACCTGTTGGGGCACCAGATCAGATTTACTGATACATATTTGTTCACCCTTTTTAATCAGACTTATATTTACCCAAGTGTGGTTTATACTAGGGATGCACCAATATGAAAATTTCAGCTGATATCGATATTTGATTTAAATATTGCTGTTACGATTGATAACTGATATTTATCGATATTACGCAAACACACAAATTATTTATATACATTTATGCACAAATACACTTGTGTCTTTTTGATCCCATAAAAAACTAATAAATAAATAAATAAATAAATAAATAAGCAACCAGACTGCTAACAAGGCTCTCTACTTCAGTTATTCCTGGCTGTGCAGTGTCACTATCATGATCAAACAGATACCACTCTCAAAACAGAAATGCAAAGATAAAAAGTGGGAAATCAATATTGGACATTAATTAGTTTAACGTTTTCGACCTATACCAATGTTCTAAAAAAGGACCAATATTGTCCGATACCGATGTTAATGCCAATATATCCTTAGTTTATACCAAAATTACAGTGAAACAGAATAATTTTAGCAGTCATTCAAAACTCAGTTTGAGTGATATGTTTACTGTGTTAATTTCAGAACAATGTTTTCTTAGACAATGTGGTCATCTAATATTCACTCAATTTATATTTTTGCCAACTTCCAAATTCCAACACCTTTATATCCTTAAATCTTTTTGTTTATTTTGCTTGTTTAGTACATATTTAAATACAAGAATTTTCTAACATTAACCCTAGCTTAATACAATATATGACACACACAAAATAAGATTTATTACTCTCTTTTTTTTCTTTTCTTTTCTTAGGAAATGTTTTTTGTTAGACTGTAAATATTTGGTAGTTATGATGAGGCAAGGAGAAATGTTTCATTTAGTCTTATTTCTTTCTGTTGAGCTTTTAAGACATTTACATGAGACTAGGAGATTTTGGCTCCTCAGTATTAACTTTAGGAGCTCTTTCAGGCTTGAGCCATAAAAGATGAGGCAAAGAACTTTATTTGTTTCATATATTTTTGTAGAGACAACTTTCTTGTCTTTGTATGTATATTCTCAGGCCTGCCTGTTTACCGCACTGTATTCACTGATTCATTCAGTCATACAACAAATACAGATCCCAAATCCTCCAGTAGTTGTTGAGGAGTTTTTTTATTTCTTATATTAATTCTGCTCATGAATAAGTAATGAGGAGGTTTGAGACACACAGAAGACTCATGCACCTGCTCCTGTGGTCGCTGCATTTTGTGCAAACACACACAAACCCACCCAGTCACAGGGATCCACGTTCTCCCTTTTAACCCCTCCCATCTTTTCCTTGATTGCAGCCGCAGGGGGTAGACAGTTAGGTGAGATGGGGCTGAATCTCTAATGCACAATCTGTTTGCACTTTGATGAAGCAAAATATTGCATTTTTTTTGCATATCACACTTTTCTAGAGACATCGCTTTGTCTTCACTGTTATTATGCTGAGTGTCGGGGTGTAAATAATATTTTCAGTGCTCATCAAAGTGTCATTCAGATCCCCAGTTTTTGGCATGCTCTGTGCACAATGGTGCACATTAGTTATTTATTTCTGACTTTTTCTCACTGGGGTCAGTGAAAGGTCTGAGAAACCTGCTCAATAATTAATTATCTTTTTTCTGTAGTAAGACGACTCTTAGTGTCTACAAACCACTTTCCTCTGAGGTGTTGAGTGATGGTTGTGGAAACAGGAAATGAAAGCTGCCAGATGTAAGTGATGCTGTGTTTGGAAACACTCCACATGGTGGTGAATTTTAAAACACTATGAGATATCAAACGGAAGGGCTTGTTGTATATGAAGAACGAGTTACGGGTGTCACCTTACAGTTTCTTTCTGTTTGTCATGTTTTCACCACTTTGAGCACAAGATAATGATCCTCTGTGTTGTTGACAGATGGGGAGAGAAGGGCTGGGACATGATTCCAGGTGATCCAGCAAAGGACCTCTTCAGTTTAAAAGAGAACATAAATGGTGAGATGCTGTTCTTAAAAATGTAATCAAAAAATTTGATTGTGTAAAACAACAACAAAATACAATCTTATTAGAATACAGCCTGATAACCCTGATTTTTCCCCCCTCAACAGAATATTTGCCATGCTACATGGGAAGGCTCTGAACACCTCCCCGGTCTTCTTCCTCATTCTCACCGTTGTAGCTGCTGTTCATGGTCACTTGTATCCCCAATTTTCACGCAATGACACTGAATTCCAGCACCTGGTGCTCCACCCGGACCCGGCCGTGGGCACAGTGTACGTGGGGGCCAGGGACCACCTTTTCCAGTTGGATGGATTTGACGGACTCCGGCTGGAGCAAGAGGAGACCACCGGTCCTCTGAGGGACCACAAAAACTGCCTTCCTCCTGTCACAGAAAGCAACTGCCCCGCATCCAGAAGAACAAGCAACCACAACAAACTGCTTCTGGTGAACCCAAAGGCGTCGGAGTTGATCACCTGTGGTAGCGTCCACCAGGGCACCTGTCAGAAACGTAGCCTGAAGTCCATCAAGGAGGTTCTCTTTTCAACTGAAAGGCCCGTGGATACACAGTACGTTGCAGCCAATGATCCCTCAGTGTCTACTGTGGGGTTGGTGGTGGAGCTTCCGGACAGCGTAAAGACGGTGATGTATGTTGGTCGAGGATACACTGCCAGCCACCCGCCCATTTCCACCCGCCATCTGTCGTCAGAGCCTTTCTTTTCATGCGAGGAGACGGCTAAGCTGGCTGTTGCTGGACGTTTGTCAGAATACGACCATCATTTTGTGAAGGCGTTCACCCGGCGCTCACACGTGTACTTCCTGTTTTACCGCCGTGACATCAAATCAGTATCGAGGGAGTACCGGACTTACGCAGCCAGGGTTTGCCTCGAGGACACCTCCTACTACTCATATGTGGAAATTCCTCTCCTGTGCAGATCGCCCTCTTCTCCTTCCAGGGTTTATAACCTGCTTCAGGCTGCTCAGGTACATTTAAGGGTTGTGTCAAAACAATTTGGCCACTAGGGCTGCACGATATTAGAAAAACCTGCGATAACAGTGCTTAAAGTGCCTGTGACATGCCTATCCTTCAAATACAAAAAGTCAAAGAAACCATCTTTATACTTAAGATAATTGGCATACACACGATTTTACCCATTTGGTCACATAACTGGCCTATTTTCAAAGTGAAACAGGAAGTGACATCAAAGGGGAAATCTTTAATAAAATAAACTGGTCTTTGTTTATTAAAACAATATTATTTAAGCTTTAATTCTTCTTCCTCTCTGTTCGATAGTGACTCAAAATAATGTAAATAAACATCAGATTATTCTCTACAGCCTGTGTTGTTAGCTGTTGTAACAATGCTCTGTTTACATGCAGTCCCCTTTTACATCACTTCCTGTTTCATCACATGCAAATATCTCAACAACTGTTCATCTCAGCAGCGTGAAATTTGTTTTGCAATATTTTATCATTGTTATCTTTCCGAAAATGCATTCATGTTTATGACAAAAAAATCATGTCACAGGTACTTTAATATTGCAATGACTTGTGATAAATGAACAAATACATAAGTATGTCGTGTTTTCTTTGGATTCCTGCATGGATTTTTAAAAAACATGAACAAATCCATCCAGCTGACCAAACACATGAAGGACTCTTTTTGATTGCTTCCGCCTGATTGACAAATAATAATTTAATAAATGCAAACTTTTGAGCCAACCATTTATGGCAGTTTATGCAGTTTTTTTGCAATATGCCAATTGCACAGGCTGTTACTGCGATGACGATAAATTTTCGATATATGCAGCCCTATTGGCCATCCTTGTCTAACTTTCATTATTTTTTGCAGGCCATGTAAACTTCTACAATGTCAACTGTTAGAGACTATTACAGTCCAGGCGTGTGTACTGCAAATTGTTATGATGTCTTTATTTTTTGCTACGAGGACTTGCGGGTAGTTAGACTGAAGGGAGTAACTGTTTAAAATACCATTCAAGGTCTTGATGCCCACAGTTTAATTTGTGTGCATGAATCTCACCCAACGAGGATTGCATCAAGATATTTTCCTGCTTTTGAGTTTTTCTCACGCCTGTATTGCAACAGGTGGGACAAGGTGTGGGCCTGCAAGGCGAAGATCTACTGGGAGTCTTCTCCACCCATGTCGGCTCAACAAACAACGGTCCGTTGGACTCCTCGGCTCTGTGTGTTTTCTCTCTGGATGAGCTCGACAGGCACATCAACTCCACCCGCGACCTCTGCTACACCAAAGATGGGTTGGTGGAGGGCAGAGGGGAGGTGGCTTACATAGAGTACGAAGTCAAGTCCAGCTGTGCTAACCTGCCTTTGGTAAGGACGCAGGAGAAGATGACGTCGAAGCTGAAAAGCAAATATTTTTTAAGCTCCTGGATTATGAAACTATGATCAGAAATATGCGCACAGAAGCATTTCATTTGTTCCCCCTTCCAGAAAAGACTGTTTCTTTGCTTTGTACTGCTTTGTGTCTATTTAGAGTAGAGATACAGTACAAGACATAGTAGATACATTAAGGCTAAATATCAGGAGATGTAATGCCTGCACCTCAGCTCTATTGACTCACTTGGCTTAAGTGTTCAGTAGAAGGTAAAATAAATGGAATGCTCAGCCAAGTAACAAGGAAAGACTGGGCTGGCACAATTAAGATGAGTAATGGATGGAAGTCTAGTAATGAGGCTTCTTTTGAAAAGCCCTGAGTTCCCAGATGCCCTAGGAGCAGCTTTGCCCAGCTGCAGCCATCCAGAGACCGTCTCCACAGATCTGCAGCCGCCCAGGTTCCCTCTGCCCTCAGAACCGTTTAATGGGATCGTTAGAGATCAATAAAGAAAACCAACCCTGAATCATCTGTTCTGCAGCTTAATGAGCTCTGACAAGAAAAGACGAGTGTTTTTTTTTTCCTCTTTTTTTACTGACATAAGAGGACAGAGGCTGAGAAAGAGAGCGAGGGGGAGGAAACTAAAACATGGGAGTAGAAGGAAGATTGTAGCACAGAAACTGACAGGAGGAAAATGGGGCACTGAAAGAAAAAAGATCAAAGAAAGAAGAGAGATTTATTAGACTACTATTTCTCTAACAATAACAAGCCATCTTATTTTTTCTGTATACTGAAAACACTAAAAATAGGCTCAGCACTCTTACTGTGTTTATGTCTAATGGAGCAAGTCTCACACGCTTATATTTAGTTGGACCACCTTTAGCATTGACTACGACACTCATTCTCGGTGGCATTGTTTGGATAAGTTTCTGCAATGTCACAAGACTTATTTCCATCCAGTGTTGCATTAATTTTTAGTCTGACCACTGCACAAAGCCTTCTCCAGCACATCCCAAAGACTCTCGATGGACTCTGTGGAGCCAGTCCATGTGTGGACATGATGTCTCATGCTCCCTGAACCACTCTTTCAAAATTCCAGCCCCATGAATCCTGGCATTTTCATCCTGGAATATGGTTGTGCCATCAGGGCAGAAACAATTCATTGATGGAATAATCTGGTCATTCAGTATATTCAGGTCAGCTGACCTCTTTCTTTGAGCACAGACTGTTGCTGAACCTAGACCTGAACAACTGCAGCAACTCATCATAGACCTTAGTTAAATCTAGGGATGCACAATATATTGGCGTTAAAATTGGTATTGGCCAATATTGGTTGTTTTTTAGAATATCTTTATCAGTCCAAATAGTAAAACTGGGCCAATATTAACGTCTGATGTTGATTTCCTACTTTTTAGCTTTGTGTTTCTGTTTTGGGAGGGGAAATGGTTGGTCTGGTGGTATCTGTTTGATCATCATGATAGTGAGGTTTCACAGCCAGGAATAACTAAAATAAAGAGCCTTGTCAGAGGTCTGGTCAGTTTTTTATAGTATCAAATAAAGACAAAGAAATTGTATTTGTGCGTGTGTGTATGTATGTATGTATGTATGTATGTATGTATGTATATATATATATATTGGTTATTGGCAGTGTAGAAATGCAGCAGAACAGTGACTCAAGGTAACAGAATAATAGCTAAAAACTATCTTTAGCAAAAGACTAGCTGAAAGTAGCAAAACTAGCTAAATACCAAAAATACCCAAACACTAACTAAAAGCTAAAAGTTTTAAAAGGCTAAATGTAAATATGTTGAAATGATCTCAGTGTATTTCTGTGGAGAAAATATTTGCCAAAAAGATGAATATTTTGAAAAGAAAAACCCAGACATCCTGGCACCCATCCCCTGAATGAGCTGAGTGTTTTGGGGTATGATTAGCTAAAATAGCACCAGGTAAACAGAAGTAGTTAGACTGCAAAACAGCACAAAGACAAATAAAAAGCAGGAAACAGTATCACAAATGCTGAATCAAAATTCACATTATTAAATAATGACTTTAAATAGCAGCTGTAATAATTGTGTTTATGTATCTAATAACCAAATGCTCCATCCTGTCACGTTTTTAGAATACCCTGAAGGCATACCCATGTGGCTCTGACCACACCCCCAGTCCCATGGCGAGCAGGGACGCGATGGAAGCCAAAGCTGTGTGGCAAACCTCCGTCGCCCGTCTCACCGCCGTGGCTGTAAGTGTCAGAGAAGGACACAGCATCGCCTTCCTGGGAGACGCCAAAGGAAATCTGCACAAGGTATAAAATGTTCCCTAACATGCCTGCACCAGGTGGAAGGCGTGGGACAACCCTGACTCATCAAGATTACCACTGAAACGCTTAATCCATGAGTCAGTTAGATGTGTTGCAATCTTTCATTCATCGCAGTCATTTGAGCATAAAGTCTCACGTAACGTTCTGTCTGTACAGCCTCACAGCTCCGTCTGCTTGTCTCTGATCCTCTTACAGCAAAACAAAGTACATTGGACTTGTTTCATGGATCCTTTGTTTAAATGAAACATACAGCGATTTTAAATCCTTATTTTTCACAGTTGAATCATTCATTTTGGGTCTATATAAAGTAAAACTGCACTGCTTTGGTCTGAATTTGTTCTACAGACTCCAACTATGCAACAAAATGCATTTAATGGCTTAAAAAGTGAAGTTTGCAGGATATTGTCCCATTTATTCTGTTACTTATTGTCCTTCATCATCACCAAAGCCTTACACTACAGTGTGGAAGATTCCCATCATTCCTCCACTTGCTGTGTTCCAACATACACAGACTAGCATACCACAGTGATCCCATGCTTAATGTGTTACCTTTGTGTCGAGCAGGCTGTGATTCTTGGAGGCTTGGTGCATTTTTTTCCTTTATGTTTTAAATGGACGGTCTCACAGTTTCTTCTTAAAGTCCGAATGCCACATTTTCTTTCCGAAAAGTGAAAAGTCAAACTATTTCTTTAACAGCATTGTCAGAAATGTTTGCATGACAGGATCAAGATAAGAGGATTGTAGATGTAACTGTGCCGTGATGTTTTCTTCTGTTAGAAATGTGGGAACGAGAGACATGAGGCTCGACTTAACATTTCAAGTTAGCAGATTAAAGCATTATTACTTTACATAGAACCATCTGAAACATGCTATTAGAACCAGATTATTGTGTTACAAGAAATCAAACTCCACTGTATCTAGATACAGAATATGCACGTGGGTGTTATGCATTCCTTCAAAGAATGCAACTTTCATTGCTTTTTGCAGTTTGGGAAGAGCCAGGCTATCTAAACAGATCCCATCCTGGCACTGGTGTCATGAAATGCACACAGACGGGCAAATTTATGAAATCAGAACATTTCCTAAAATGGTTGTTTCTTTAAAACAGGCAGAGGCCTGCTACAAATTAATTTAGTTACTTCATGTCAAAAGAGCTCCAGCTGAAAAGACTCAAATAAAAGTCACACCAAACATAAAACCACTACGGATTAAATAAATAATACTTGAAAGGCGTTTTGCATCGACGTGCACGGCTGAAGATTAGAAGGATCAAATGAAATATTAAATATGACATGTAAAACAGTAGTTAATGCCTGAAGGTTTTTTAGTTTACTAATCACTGCCAGCAACTTCCTTTATGTGCTGAGTGCATGCTTCTAATGGGACAACAGATCCTCTATTCTATTTGCAGTGATTTCATTAAGACGAGGTAACATGAGAGTTTGAAGGTCTGGGAATCACTTAAGCCAGAGGTGTCTTCCTGTGCTTCAGATTAGATTTGACTGTTTGATAATCATATTTATGGCCACTTCTGCTGCGATCCTGTGCAAGTGTGATTTGATTTTCATTTGAGCTGGAAAATAGGGAAGGTAGTTTTTTTGTGTTTTTTATTTTTTTTGTCAAATATTAAATTTATTTGTGGAGAGTCCAACTTCCCTACAAGCTGGACTTCAGTCTTTTTGATGAAAAGTAATTTCTGTGCCAGCAGTGTTTGTTATAAATTGCATTAAATGAACCAAATGTATTTTCCGGTCTTATTCTCCAGGTGTACCTTGGTAAGGACGGTGGGGTGGAGGTATACGCTAACTCGACAATACATCCCAACTCCCCCATTAGCAGCGACCTGTTGCTCGATCAGAATGGATCGCACATCTACGTCATGACCAGAACTACGGTGAGACCGCAAAATGTGCAGCCGGTAGTCATTTCGGCTCGTGTTTCATATCCAAAACGCCCAGCAGATGTATAAACAGACACGTCTTTGTTCCTGTTCCGCCACCCATCCAGATGTCTTCATAAATGAGAATGAACATGGGCTTGTCGTCCGTCAGACAATTTATAGTTTGTCTGACGGTTTTCATGCTTTGATACTTCCTCAAGCTGTGTGTCCCTCAAAAGATAAAGCAGAAAACAGAGAGGCCAGCTGGCAGCTGGGGTCAGAGGTCACAAACCCCACTGAGGTGGGCACAACAGTCAGCACGAGGTCTAAGGTCAGACTTAACAATAGTATTGATCATCAAAAGTGGCCTGCATTGTGTTGACACACTCCCTACAGAGTGTGTGTAGGAAGCTGTGGATGGTGATAAATGACGATGAGAATCCAGATTACTTTGATAATGAGCTGGAAAAATATTTAGGCTAACAAAGCTAAGGTTCAACAGAAATTAAACAAAAAATATAAGGTAAACTAATAAACTGAATTTATTACAAGAAGCTCTAATTGCAGCACGGCTGGCAACTCTTAACTTTATACATCATGAAGGGAAATATTTATCTTAATAAGTGTTAGTAAGCAGGGGAACTGGTGTGTTTTAGTATTGCGTGTACTTTCAAGGACAGAAATTCCCTTCCTGTTTACATGATGAGGACCTGTTGGGCAATAACTTCATTAGCCACCACAGAGATAAATAAAAAATATTCAGTAATCCAGTGGGATCTCTTCAACTTGCTTATCTTCAAGGCACTAAAGGTTTTTGAAGAAATGTGATTCTGTTTATGAAAACTAAATAACAGCTTTTGCTGTTCTTGCGAGCAGCTTTTGACCAGTTCTGATCCAAACTATTGTTAAGATTCAATCATTTCCCATTATTTTAAAGCACTAAACTGATAGAATTCCCCAAGTCCCTCTCTGAACTAGCTGTCACGTGCATTTTCATAAAACTCCAGCAACCCCCCACCCCCCACCCCTCCACGTCCAAGCTGGGAGAAGTAATTAAAGCACAGACCAGAATTTCCCATACTTTTTGGATGGAAGCAGACCAAGAACAGCTGTCTTTTTTTTTAGTTGTTTCAGTGAATAATGAGTGTTTTAAATGAATATTGGTGAGTCTTATGGATGTTTCTCAGACAGGACTGACTTTATGCCACTATAAACAAGAAAACTGTTGATCGATATTGTTGCTGTGAGGAGAAAACATCTTTGTGACCCAGCTGAATCAGTTTACTTTTTATTCAGAATCTAGTTCATTTTCACTTATGTGATATTAGAGGTCGTATTAGACTTTTTCGCTGTCCGTCATTTTGACTGATAGAGTCAACAAAAAAATCTGTCGTGATGAATTTTTTTTTACCCGTCACACTGTTTTGATGTTCTGAAGTCTAAATCTGATGCGACACTGGAGACTGGCAAAATCAGAAAACATTTCTCCATTCGAAGAGACCAGAAGTCGGCAAAACTTTCTGAATGAGGGATTTCCAAATCCCAAGCAGTCACTTCAGCGGGAGGGAATCCCGCAGCATTCCCTCCCGCTGCACCACTGGTTCAGTCGCGCCACTTTGTGACCCGTCGTGGTCACATTCCAAAGCCCCCTGTCCATATATCTTCAATGCATTGTCAGCTCACAGAGAGAGAGATGCATTCAGTATGGTGTCTAGATCTGAGATAATGCTCAGATGGGAATCTTTTTTTATTGAATAAGACACCTCCGTGAGTGAGTGTGATGCCACAGAACTTGCTGTCTTGTGAAGCCTCGTTATTTTTTTTCTCCCCGCCTCACCTGGCCCATTCATTAATGTAGACATATCATGATTTTAAATCCTTCCTTTCCACATTTAAATAAATCAAATAAAGTGGAACTGCAATGCTTTGATGTGAATTCCTCCTTATTCTACCTTTACCAGACCCTCTTTCACCATTTTTTCTGAGGTGTGTCTCAAAGTATCTGATTGTGTTACTGTTCCTTTAAGACGCTTCAAGCCCCGCCCCCTCCGGCTTCCAGACCGGTCCACTCCAGTTTGAGAGAGGAGTTTAGCATTTTCTAGCTTGCAGAAACGTTTTATTTACAATTTAATTAAAAGCTGTCAACAACAGAAGACTTGCATGTTGGGGCCAGAGTCTGACCCAGAACCAGAGGAGAATTAAGTTGAGAAAATTGTAGTTGTCTAGACCTGCTTTAGAGGTTTTGTTGCAGCTAATTTGACGTAATAGAAAACAGAGAAAAACTGAATGGGCTGAAACATCTGAACCAAACAGAAAATAAAGATTTCTTTTTAGCACCAGAAGAGATTAAATTCAACTTTTCTGCCTCCTAAAGACTCCAAGTTCACAACAAAATATCTTTAAAAGCTAAAAAAAAAAGGTGGATTTAGCATGATATGTCCCCTTTACGTCTTCCAGATGTAAGTGGTCAGGGGTTTTAATCGCATTCTGTCAAAATGACGGATGACCTTCAGATTTTTCGCCACCATGTAAAAAAAAGTGTCACATACAGAAACTATTCACTTAACACGACCCATTTGATGTTAAATTTGTTTATGAATCATGAGAGTGTAAGAATAAGACTGACATCAACTAATAAATATTCTTATTTTGTTTAGAAATTTCCAAAAAAAAAAATAGTAAGTGGAGACTCGACATATAAAGCTCTTCAGGATGTGGCTCAGTAATGAAGCAATGAACATCCAGCCGACTCGTTTATAAATCAAATTGAAAACATTGTGGTTGGAAGTCAAATGAATCCAAAACACTCTGAGGTAAATCAAGTCTTCATGGAAGAATCCGATTGGTTTGATATGTTAACCACACGCCTATTGATTGACTCTCTGGTAGAGGGACCTGATTAATTATTGTTTTAATCATATTCATGGTTGAGATTTTGGTCAGGGAGATTCCAAAATGACAGTTTTTACATTTATTTTGGTATTTATGCTTATCTTTTATTGTGTAAAGTGCTTCATTGAGATTAATAGTCTCCATATCTGCCTTATTCAGACTAGTAAATTGCCTTTAATTACTTAAATTCACTTATCTGCCTTTTTATTCAGATTGAGAAGCGTCCAGTTGCAGAATGTGGAGATCACTCAGACTGTCAATCCTGTCTGTCTGCCAGAGACCCCTACTGTGGCTGGTGTGTCTTGGAGGGACGGTGAGTCTGGCGGATGTGTTCTCTCTGCTTGTTGTTACAGACTTGACTTCCCAATCTCGTAATATTCCTGCTATATTTCAGCTGTGGCCAGCGGTGGGAGTGCCAGCGAGGGTCTATGCAGGGCCAGTGGTTGTGGAGTTTCAACCAGACGCAGCAGTGCCTCAGCATCCAGCGCCTCAATCTCTACAACATTAGCCGTGGAGAAAAAACAGACGTAATGAAGCATGCAATGCTGGAACAGTTTAACAGAATGCTTTGGAGCGTGTCACTTAAATATGACCTCATATGTCCTATGTTGTTTCAGCTCTACAAATATCTAAACTCATTAAAGAGCATTCATTTCCTTTTTAACTGTGTTTCTCTTCCTCAATGTTTGTTCTCATTCAGATTGCTCTGTCAGTAGAGGGCCTCCCTAATCTGAAACAAGGAGAGGCGTATTCCTGCTTCTTCCAGGACACAGAAACTCCTGCCTTGCTCACTACCACTGGTGTGATCTGCTCCACCCCCGATGCCAACAGTTTGCCCCTCATTGGCCCAGGAGATGGTCAGTCTTCCCTCTTTATTGAAGGATTTAAAGATGGGAAAATATTCTATTTTTAAGTGTTTTTAAAGCTTTAAACATGCTTAAATCTGGATAAATTACTGAATAAATTGATAACTTATTAAACTTATTGTTTTTCACATAATAAAGGCAGATTTTAGTTGTTGTACTTTTAGGGCTGGGTTAAAAAAATCGATTAATTTGTTCAAATTTTGTGGAAATCGATTCATAAGGCATGAGATCAATTTTTCCCAATGAGCGTTGTGTGCAATTAAGCTGCGCATTTTCATGTTGTGTGTAACTCCTGGCTTGCCGTATACTAACATCTGGTTGACGTTCAGTGCTAACATTAGCACTCGACAAGTTGTCTAGGGTAAAACAACACCTGCTTCGGATGTTATCATCCATTAAATGGACGTTATTAGCTGTTATCAGTCCCATAGAATGGCTTCAGACTGTCAGCTGGTTAGTATGAGGCATAAAGCCACTAAGGTTTTTTATTTATGAAATCTGGTTAGTATGAGGCATAAAGCCACTAAGGTTTTTTATTTATGAAATCTGGTTAGTATGAGGCATAAAACCACTAAGGTTAGTTTTAGAGAAAATGACATGGGCTACGATTAAGTAGACCGGACTCTGGCGTTAGCAGTTTGTTGCATTCCAACGTATATGGCACTGGTAACCCACTAGTGGGCACTGTCGGGACAGTCTGAAGCCATTCTATGGGACTGATAACTGCTAATAACGTCCATTTAATGGACTGATAACATCCGAACCCGCTGCAAAACAAAAGAAACAAAGGAATCACTAACATTACAGCTGATTCTCAGCTGAACTTAAAGGTAGCAGAGGCCATGACAACTTTTGTTTGCAAAGATTTGCGCTCGGACGCGGTAGCGGGAAACGAAGCTTCAAGCGTCTCATTCCGGTGTTCGAACCAAAACTATGGTACGTAATCTGACTGAAACTGTTCTCCTCGGTATGTATAAGTGTGTGAAAGATGACAGTCTAACAAAATCGTTTAGTTTTGTTACCAATATTATTTTGAAATTTAAAAACATTTTAATGTAATTAAAACAATGATTGAATGTATAAGCTGAAGTATTCTTTGTTTTCTTTCTTTCTTCTTGTTAATAAGTTTTATTGGCCAGACGCTAACGGAAACACTACAAATATACAGTTTTTATACACTCAAAAGAGTGGGGAGAGGTATACTTATAATATCCCACCTCTTCTCCTGCAACCTTATTCCCATCACTTCTTAGTGATAAGAAAATTATTCTTAGTTTCTTACAAACTAATTCAATTCAATTCAGTTTATTTATATAGCGCCAAGTCACAACATACATTGTCTCAGGGCACTGTACATGAAAAAAAGAACAATCTAAAGAAGAATCCAGCAGATTGTGTTGAATCACTTCATCACAGTCTCCCATCCTGAGCAAACGGTGGAGAGGAAAAACTCCCTGCTAATCAGGAAGAAACCTCCAGCAGAACCAGGCTCAGGACAGGAGACCATCTGCCTCGACCGGCTGGGTTGGAGGACAGGAAAGAGACACAGACAAACACAGAAGAACTGGTCCAGGTGCATCTTCTTCTGGAAAAGAGACAAAAAGAAAAAAACATGTTATTGATAGAAATACAGTAATTACAATAAACATGTAGAGAAGAGAGACTAAAGACAACAGCAGAGTGAGGAAATGTGCTCAGTTTGTGCTCCAGCAGTCTAAGTCTAAAGCAGCAGAAATGAAGAATAAGTCAGGAAACCTAAGTCTAATTATAGGATCCATCAAAAAGGAAAGTCTTGATTCCAAAACTACTGTATCCAACAACTCTTTGTCTTGAAATTCCTTTTTAGTTTAAACCCTTAACTTGAGACAGTTTTGTTTCAAGATTAAACTCCAATTTACAAGGTTGCCCTTAATGTTTATAATTTTACCAATGCACCAAGTTAGAATTAGTTTCTATTATTTGCAGAATTAGTTCCTTTGAGAATGTCTTCTATATCAAAATAAACATGTTACTACAAGATATCCTTAACTAATTTAAAAATCAATCAAATTGAATCGTGAATCGAATCGGGCCCTTGTAAATTGAATTGAATTGATTTGGGAAATCCGAATCGATACCCAGCCCTATTTACTTCTTACACACACAGCTAAACAAGCTTTGCTACCCCTCCGAATCTGCGTGTGGCCGTATTTCAACCTGCATTTTCAATTTTCCCAGAGTTTGTGATGGTGACCTTGTCGCTGCGTTTCGTTAACGTGACTGTAACAGAGACAGAATTCACCTTCTACAACTGCAGTTTGGTCCAGGAGCTTTCCGGGCGCAGACCGTGAGTACACACCTGTCATAAAATACATGGAAAATCAGCTCCAGCACGTTAGAAATCCATTACATGTACAGTAATTAACGTGGAAGTACACAAAGTATGAACTTGTATTTTGCACCGTTTCAAGTGATTCACTATTTTTCAATTGCTGTTGGGGACTTTTCCAACACTTAGTCAGTTGCAAACTTTTTTTTCCCCCGATCTTGTTTTGTGCTCTGCCAGATGCCACGGGTGTGTTAGCAGTCGCTGGGGGTGTAATTGGTGTATTCATGAGCATGTCTGCACACATAAACACACCTGCAGTGAAGGAGTCACCATCTACAACCAACATGTGAGTCATTAAGAAGTCTGACAATCATTTCAGGGGGTTTATTTGATCACACCAAACTGTCAAGCAGCAGGTTTATCTTTCAAAGACGTTAAAATACTGATTTGAGCATCATGTTTGGGTTAGGACCTTATTTGCTTTTTTATTTATTTAAACCATATCATTTTTCAGTTATTGTTTTTGAATATCTTTTTTTTGTTTCATCCTAATTTTGTCTTCCTGCTTGCTTTTTTTTCTGTTCCTCTCATTTCCTTGTTTGTTTGCTTTTGCTTCTCCATCGTCAAGTTTACACCATCAACACCCACCCTCCCACCTCCCACCAGAAAACCCACACCATCACCTCCTTCTGTTCTGACTGCTCCAACAACAACAACCATTACAACAACAACAACACAACCACCACCCACAGAGACACCTGCCCCGATCAGAACAGCTGTTCCCTCATCTTCAACACCAGTGACAACCCCCACCGACCCGAACGTTGGAGCTACCACACCACCTACCCTCGCTACAACGTCCCCTTTGGTCCGGACCTCCACCCAGGCCGGCGCCACTCACACTGAAGCCGACACCACAGTTGTAGAGACAACAACAAACGTAGCTGCAAGTGTCTCTTCAGAGGATGGAGATCCCAACAAGTTAAACATCACAGCTGAAACGACCCACACTACATTGCCCACGACCACTAATAGCCATGCAGACTCTCAGCTGAGCGTTTTAAAGCCATCTGCTGAAGCAACGGGCTCCTCTTCTGAGATAAGCTCAGCTGCTCCCAGTGAAGTGGCTCCTTTTATAGTCCCCTCCATCAGCGCCAACAAGGATGTCTTTCCTCTGGCCACTTCTGAGGAGAGCGGCCCACCGAGGCCGCATGGACCTGAGGAAGAGACGGTCTCTGAAATGATTCCATCTGTTGCTCATTCACCCATCTACACACAGTCACCTGAAACTGTTGCTGACAACGACCCTGAAGCAAACCCTCAGTCTGATTCTTCTTCTGGGTCTTATGTCCGGGTGAGTGCAGGAGACACGCTTTGGAGCCGAGGCAGAAATGTTCACGGCAACACAAGAAACATGCTTTTTGTTCCAGAGTAAGAAAAAAATATTAATAAAGCACTCCAGAAGTGATATTTGTGGGTTATATCTTGAACTTATATCTTACAAATATTTGGCCAATTGGCTCAAAGTTAAAAGGAAAAAAATTGTATAGGTCCTCTGGACAGGTTCTTCTTTAATGAAACGTTTAAAACGGCTCAAAGTTAGCAACTTAGGTTCAAATAAGATTTATAAACATTATTATGGTAATTTATTTGAGGATTAGCTGTGACGTCCATTTGTGGCTAATTGGCTGTAACTACAGCACATCTTTGTTAGAAGAAGTTGATTTTAGTTTAAATCTTTGGTCTAAAAGGCAGGAAGCGAGATGCATTTCCTTAAAGGGGCAATATCATGTAAAATCTTTTTTGAGTTTTAAATCATGTTATAATGTTATCCTCTCATCAAAAACATACAGAGTCTTACTTTGACTCATTCATGTATGTTTGAGAAATCCTGTAGTGTCCTGAGGCAGCAGGCAGGGGAGCAAAAACAACCAGTTGGGACTAGAACCACCTTTTAGGATCAGCTCCTCCTCTGGGCTGTGTCTCCAAGCCGAGCTTCTTCATCACAGATTTTATTTATTTATTTTATTTACTGTTATTTAACAGATCACACACACACACACACCCAGCCCCATGCTGAAATGGGCAGGACAGAAGCAGAAGGAGGTTCTTAAAGAGACAGAGGCCAATTTCAAGGTGTTTAGAAACAATATGATGAGGACAAGTTTATTTTTTATTTAAACATATAAACATTTTAATAACAACTGAAGGTGACATAGTTACTTTATTATGGTATGGAATTTAAATACATGCCTGAGAAACACATAATATTGCCCCTTTAAATTATCTAATTTTGATTATTATTATCAAATTGCCCTCTGGGGTTAATAAAGTATTTTTGAATTTAATTGAATTAAAGCTAGAAGCTAAAACAAGCAAAATACTAGCTTAAAGCCGATAGTAACAAAAGGTTAACTAAAAGCCTTTTACTAGTAGCAAAATAGTAGCCAGAACCTTAAATCTGTAAAGAGTAAGTTAAAAATAACAAAAATCTATCTGAAAATTGCAAAAGGTTAGCTAAAAGCTACAATTTTTAAGGAGATATATTATGCTTTTGAATCCTTTTTTTTCACATTTAAATGCTTCAGTTGGAGTTTATATAAAGTGGATCTGCAATGCTTTGGTCTGAATTCATCCTTAATTGTAAATCCACAAGCCCTGCCCCTTTTCTGGGGTGTGTCGTAGATCAATTTATTTTGAGGCGCTTCACACCCCGCCCCCTTCCAGCTTTCAGACCGGTTCATTCCAGTTTGATAGAGGGGTTTGTGAATATATAGCAGCGCAGAAACTTTATATTTACAAATTATCGAAAAGATGTCCACATCCAGCCATCCATGTCCATCCAGCTTTACATGGTGGTGCCAGAATCCGACCCAGAGACAGAGGAGAATGAAGACAAGGAAATTAAATTGAATTATACGTTTCTGCACTTGTAGAGACCACCAATTACACAACAAAATAAATTTAATGGCTAAAAAAAGTGGATTTTGCATATGCCCCCTTTTAAAACAACAACAGCTGCAAAGAAAATTTGCAGTGGTTCATGCAAACTGTTTTTTTGTTGCAATTCCTGGGATAACTAAGGCACTACGCCCACATTGTTGCATGAACCTGGGTGATAGAGGCTGCAGTGTACAGTCAGTTACTGTGGTGTAGAATACTGAGTAACTCCCTCCTGTTGGAGTTCGCTTTAAAGGTCCACAAATCCAACCATGACTGACACAAAATCAATGTAATCTCAAACGTGAAGCTGCAGCCGAGTAATTTAAGGCATTAACCCAACAGGTTTTATTGACTCCTCTACTCTCTCCATATCATTTCTGGTCACCTCATTTAGTTCTGCTGGCAAGTAATATTGTTAAGCTAACTCAGCAATTCCTTCTATGAGAAACAAGATAGCTGCATTTCCATCTCTAATCTTAATGTTTTACTTGTGCATCTTGTGTTTCATTTCTGCTCTTATGTTGGTTTTTGTCTTACTTTTTTGTATCTGCTATGCTCATGTTTACATTTCTGGAAGAATAATGGACAGTTTGGTTTAAGTTCTCCAAATGGCTGTAGTTTTTCTTACCGTTATATGCAAACCTGAGTTGGCTGAATGGATAGCGAAGCTTAAATGTAGATATTTTCCACAATGCTTTGCAATGTGTCATCAGGAATGCCCATGTGTGGAAAGAGTTCAAGATTCCTCCCTCCTCCCTGTGAATGTGGAGAGGAAGATCACACTAGTGGGTCAGCACTTAAACCTGTTTCAGGTAATGTAAACATTCATAATGGCTCTTTTATCCATCATTGCAGGTCTACATTTATTTCATGTAAATACAGCTCATTTTGTATTTAATGTGAAAATAGAAACACTTAACATAATGCACGATTTATTTTACACTTTTAATTCTTCTCTGAGCATTGTGATAAAGTGATAAAATAAAGTAAGTAATTATAAGTTTAGTTTGAGACTTTAAACGTGTTTGTTCATTCAGGATGAGACTTTGGAATATGAGTGTGTTCTGGACGTCGAGAGTCAGTCAGTGGTGGTGGAGGCCTCAGTAGAGCCAGATGCTAATTGGCCATCGGTCTACTTCATCACCTGCCAACCTCACCAGGTCAGAAACAGTCACCAAAACCGACATAATTAGAAAAAAAAGGCTGAAATATATAAACAGACCGATAAATAAATAAACACACTTAAAATGCACCAATTAAATAAAAGAACTTTAAAGTTTAAGCTAAACTGAGGCAGCACAAGCATGCACAGTCAGTCTGCACATGGATCCTGCTCCTTCCTGTCTGTTGACCAAAAGGAGAGGACCCAGCTGACCCAATAAGCCCCGCCCACCTTATTTGCATAATGCAGCAGAAATGCATAAGGTAGTGTAAATACAAGTGACAGAGAAATGTAAAAAATAACACATGGAAATAAAGATGTGAGAAAAATGATAAAAATTGATTAAATATAATGATTCAGGAGACACAAATGCATGTACAAGTAAAAGAAAAGCAAAAGCAAAAAAATATATAATTTTTAAACAGTAAAATATAAATTATTTGCAAAAATATATAATTAATTGGAACTAAGTTGAAAAAATTAAAAATAAGGTCAATTAAATTATAAAACATGAGGTAAAGTTTGCCTTTTTAATTTAATTGGTGCATTTTAAGTGTATTTATTTATTTATTGGTCCTTTCATATATTTCTGCTTTTATTTCAAATTATGTCAGTTTCGGTCCTCCATATATTTCTTGCAGGTTTGAGATAATCGTTTCCTCTCATTGTCCTCCTAACCGCTTCTGTTATTGCAGTATGTGTACTCCCTCTCAGTGGAGGAATACCCTGCTACTATCAACGTGAGGAGAAAAAACAACTTCCTCATCGACAGCGCTGAAGATCTTCACGGTGAGAGGTTATAGTGTGTAGCTGCAACTCTTGATGTAGGTGTGTGTGAGAGAATCTACAAGCTTTAACTGAATTGTTTTTGGTTTTGTATGTCATCAGGTTTGCACTCTTTCAAAGTAATGCCCAACAACCCGATTAAACGATTGCTTTTTTTTTTCTCACCGTCTCTCCCGCTCCTGTTACAGTGACTCTGTTCAACTGTTCAGTGGGTCGGTCCGACTGCAGCCGGTGTCAAACCGCCGACCCGAAGTACGGCTGTGTTTGGTGCGGCGGAGCTGCCAGCTCTCACTGCGTGTATCGAGACTCCTGCGCCGATGAGATCAAACACACCTGCCCCGCGCCGGTCATTCTTTTCGTAAGATCTTTTTTTGCTTTGTCCCGTGACGTTGACTTCAAGAGATTAAAAACTTTTATCACAAAGATTCACGACTCAAGAAAACCAGACAAGTGCCAGTTTATCTTGATCACCAGCATGATTCGAGTCCAGCTCATTTTCCTGTTGCACCACGATGCTTTCAAGAACGTGTGTTCAAGTCCGACTTTAAGAGAGCATTGAGAGAATTTCCCCTCCTCACAAATCCTTTAAGAGTCTTTTAGTCTGGGCTAAGATCATTTGTGCAGATACAGTACAGTTTTAATAGGAGGTTAACCTGCAGCACCCACATCGTACGACACCCACCCAGCCTCTCAGACCTTTTCTTTCCTCCACATTTAAGATGCTGCTCAAGATTAGATATCAAGCTGAGGCATGAAGAAACTGAATGATCTCAGTTTGTTGTGACATTTTTATGAGTTTGTACCTGAAGCTGAGACAAAGAAACAAATATATTAAAATGATTCAGCCCTATAATAAACATGTTTGTTTTTTAACCTACCGTAATTTAATATTATATTACTTCATTATAAAGTTAGATGAGCTGTAAAAATAGTACTGTGCAAAAGTTTTAAGTCTCTTATTTTATATTTTCTTTCTAATGAGACACACTTCCTTGCGTTTTTAAGTGATCCAGTTAAATAACATTCATTACTTTCTGCATGTCTATTTGTAATTTTTTTAATCCTCATTTTTCCTTCCAGAACCTGACCATTTATTCTGACCCATTAACATGTATTAATAACAAGACACAGAAGTGCGACAAGGAAGCTGAAGCCAAAACATGTGCTGTGGTTCCAAAAATACATCATGGCAACGTCCTTAAACTGGATATTATTAGCTTCAGTTTGGAAAAAAACAAAAAAAAAACAAAGGAGGTGGAGACGATGTTCATTATTTGTGTGTCGATACTCTGATCTGTGCATCATTCAGCCATAAAAAGACTGATGCGTGGACTCATAACAGACAAATCTATAAAAAAATCTCAAAATTAACTCATTTTGATAAACAGAAAACAGTATTTTTGATGATTTCTGAAAACTTGATTGCAGAATGACTTTAAAATACTTATCAACTTCAAGCAACTATTTTAGGCCTGACAACTCTTTGTCCACTTCTGCAGTTTCATAAGTCTTAAGCACACACATATTAAAGGCCATGTCACACTAGACAACTTATGCCAACTTATGAACATTTTAAAGACGTCTACATTGAAGATGGAAATGAAAAAATCTACAGGAAGCTTCTTTTCAGCGTGTACCAGTAGTAGATTTTCTGCATAAGGGGTCATCGAGGGGCCAAAAAATTCATAGAGGGGCCAAGTATTTGTTCACCATCGTTGCACAGAAATCCCTTGTTTTGGTAAGGTGTATACTTTTGCACATGTTCAAATACCTGGAAAGTAATGTAGTTTTAAAAAAAAACTTGTACAGTATATTCTCCTCACCAGTTTTACATTGATTTTTATTGTAAATAAATTAAATACTCTTAAACACAGCATGTGAGAAAATCCAGTCATTGTTTGTCAGTTGAAAGACTTTTTGCAGGATTGTTCAAACGTTCTTAAGAAAAGAAGAAGACTTCTCTAAGCTTGATTCATGCTGGACTTTACTATTTGACTCATTAGTGCCACTAGCGTTTGGACATGGAACTGCATCCATCATTATCGCTCTCAACTGGGTACGCACTGCATTTTGCCATTTTATCGCGGTGCACAAGGTAGCAGTAGGTGTGGTAGAGCGTTTTACTTGCATGCGGCGCGTCCAAAGCAGCCGCTGCTTGAGTTCAAAATATTGAACTTTCACTGCTCGACGCGCCGCAGCAACCAATCAGAGAGAACCATTTTTCCACATGACAGTTTTCTGAACCTGAAACAGATGGACAGGCACTCTTTAGCTGAAATCGACCATCTGCAGTTGGTGTTCTGGCTGGAGATATCAGCACCGATGTGGGTCAGCGGCTCGCTAAACTGGCTGTTAAACTGGGCTCGGGACAAAAAAAAGTCCATCAGCTCGCAGCTCCTGGAGCGGTGAAACTAGCCGAACAAACCGCCTCTAAATTATCTGGTGAATTAATTATCTGCTGTGCGCAACGTTTGCTTGCGCTTCAGTAAATAAAGCAGCCATTTTCTTTACTCTATCTTTATTTCACCCATCACGCTTCTCCCTCTTCAGAAGCGCATCTAGTCTGCTGCCGCGTTCACACCGAACGCCTTTCAGTGTGTCCAACTTGAGGCGTTGGGCGAATTTTTGCTGCTCAAAACGCATTTGGTGGGAACCCGGCTTCAGGCAAAGAACAGACGACTGACAGGACAGGGGCACTTCAGGGGGCCAATCAGATTTCAGCTGGGGCCAAAGCCCCAGTGACCTCACACCTAGCATCGCCACTGGCATGTACATAATGTAATTCTAACAAATGGATCAAAAATATAAATTTTATTAGCAATTTAGACATAAAAATGTTTGGTAAAATGGCATAAGTTGTGTAGTGTGACATGGCCTTATGCTGACATGACCAGGTTCATTAACTGGATAGAAAATTAGTAAAAAACTGTCTAAAGAAGAACTTTAAAAGTTTCCAGAAAGTCTGATTAGTTTGATGAACAAGAATAAAACCGTAGATAAATTAGAACTGGTTTAAAGCTTTGATGCAGGCCTTATTTCTCACTTTAAATAGTGTTTGGTGCTATCCGATACGCATGTCATATTTGTTGTATGTCTATGTTTCAGCTGGATCCAGTGTCTGGCCCGGTCGAGGGAGGGACAGTTGTGACTATTTCAGGTTCCAACCTTGGTCAAAGAGCTGAAGACATCTCGAGCTCAGTCACAGTCGCTGGAGTGCTATGCAGCGTTATCCACAGCAGATACGAAGTGTCCTCGAGGCAAGCTGTCAGCACGGTCAACACAAACACACACACACACCGAATGATCCATGAAGCTTGCCTAATGGTGGCAGCTGTGTGATGCTGTCTTGCAGGATAGTGTGTGAAACTACGAGCAGCGGAGGGGAGAAGAGCGGCCACGTCTCTGTCAAAGTGAGAGGTGGAGGAGTCGGAATTTCAGCTCAGATTTTTAGTTTTCAGGTCAGTATTACTTCTACTTTAAACTTTTAAAGAGGAGGGGGAGGGGAATTATGCAAAATTGAGTTTTTAATCTTTATATCATGTTATAATGTCAAAAAACATATCCAGAGTGTTGTTTTGACTCGTTTATTCTTGTTTGATAAATCCTTGAATCTCCTGCGGTAACCACGTGGAGCTGCTCAAACACTTGTTGGTACAAAGCTCCGCCTTTTTATACAAAGCTCCTCCCTGAAGCTCAGTCTGCACCCGAGCTGCCGCCCCACGGAGCACCCCTCCCCCAAAGCACTGTTGTGAAGTCGTGCTGAAGTGGGAGTGTCGGAAACTGTAGGAGGTTCTTTAAGAGACAGATGCCAATTTCAAGGTGTTTATATCATCTATGATGCAAAGTCTAATTTATTTTTGATTAATACAGTGAAATATTTTTATAACAACTGAAGGTAACAGTTACTTGACTGTAGTATCGAACTGAACTATGTGCCTGGAAAATACACAAAATCCCTTTTCATTCATGACAAAATTTTCTTTTTTTGTTTTTATTTTTACTGTATATAGATTTTGTTGTTTGAATGAAATAAATTGAATAAATAAAATAAAATAAATGCTGTTTTTTATACAAAATGTGGCAAAAAATTTGCACCTGTCCAAGAACGAATAAGCGAGTATTTTCAAAATAAAGCCTTCTCTTGGGCATTTATCTTACGCAGTTCAAAGGCAGCACTTACTTACAATTCTTACATAATTCCCCCTGAGGTTCGGTTCAGTTTAAAGATCACAGTGATCGCTCGAGGGCGTAGACTGGATCAGACAAATCGGGATCTCGTTGAAAGGAACAGGCTATCCCTTGGTGTTGTTCAGAAATCAACAAACACTGAAATTTAAAGAACGTTGTTCATTTGGGACGAGTCAGACGCATTTGTTTAAAAAAAGAACTGTTTTGGGGGAACTGGTCCATTTAAGGAAATAAAAGCCCTCCCTGCTGTTCGTTTTAATTGGGTTTCGCTTGGTTAAATGTAAGTGAGCCACAGCAAGACAATGGAGTAACAACTCGTCTGCCTGTTTACTACATTTTATACCTGCAGCCTTAATTAATTGTTCCAAGCTACAAAGAGATTAATCGGTGCAGGATTTGGCAGTGAGACAACACTCCATGTTTCCCCAGAATGGCTTTGTGGTTTGTTTTTTTTTTCTTCCCAATAAATCACACGCTCAGCATTGGCTTATTGATCTGACTTCTTCTTTTCCTTTGTTCCCTTCATCTTTACATCCCGCGTTGTAAATTTTTTGCTCCTCTACGTTTTTGTCTCCAGAACCCTGTCCTCAGCAGCATCTTCCCTCAGAGGGGGCCCAAAGCCGGGGGCTCATCTCTCACCATCAGAGGGCGGAGACTGAAGACGGGACATCCCAGAGAAATCAGCGTCTTAATTGGAGGAGTTCCTTGTGGAGTGTAAGTGTTCCAAAGGAGCCGTACGGTTTATTTTGAAAATCTTTGTTTCTAATTTGGTGACAAACTGTGTTTAATGTAACAAAATAAATAATATTAAAAAATATTTTGTGTTCAGTCTTAATATCCAGGAGGATCAAATAAGATGTCGGACCAGAGGTAGCAACAGAACAGGAGTGCATAACATCACCGTGCGCTTCGGTGGAGCAGAGCGCCATCTGGAGGGCTCGGTGTATAATTACACCCCTAACCCCAACATCACAAGGGCCACACCATCCAGAAGCTTTTTCAGGTGCAGTGCTGGGACAATTACTATCATTTTATAAAAATATGTATAAAAAAATTGTAGATATTTAAATTTTTGTTAAGAGTTAACCAAACAGGAAATACAGTCATTCTGACAAAATGCCCATGCAATAAATATATGTATACTAATATAAAGTTGCATTATTTGATAAGGTAGTCATTTCTAATACTTAAACATTTGCATACATTGACTTAATTTTTTACACACATTTAGTTTTGTAAAAAAAAAAAAAACCTTTTTGTCACTGTTACAGCATAAAAAACACCTTTATGTGTATTTAGACTAAAACAAAGTATTAAAATCAGAAGATAAGATTTGAGGCTGGACCATTTATTTTTTATTATTAATTTTACTTCTTTAAAGTGCCTCTGACATGCATATATTTCAAATACGAAAAGTCAAAGAAAGCATCTTTATATTTAAGAAATTTGGCATAACACGATTTTAGACATTTTGTCACATAACTGGCATTGTCTTTTGGATTTGGCTCAGTTAAACTGAAACAGGAAGTGACATCAAAGAGGAACTCTGAGGTCTTTGTTTATTGAAACAATACTATTTAAACTCTGACTCTTCATCTCTCTGATGGTGACTCAAAATAATCTAAACAAACATTTGATTATTCTTTACAGTCTGTGTTGTTAGCAGATGTAGCAATGCTCTGTTCACTTGCAGACATTCCCCTTTGACATCACTTCCTGTTTCTTCATATGTGAATATCTCAACAACTGTTCATCTCAGCGACATAAAACTTTGTTCTGCTGTATGTTATCAATGTTATCTTTCCAAGAATTAATTCATTTTTATTACAAAAAAATTGATGTCACAGACATTTTAAAGACCATAAACCTGTAATCTGCTGGTCATGAGCATATTTTAAAAATCTGAATAATTGTTTGAGAAGACCGATGAAGTTGTGTGCGTGTTGGCCTTGCAGTGGAGGCAGAATCATCAGAGTTTCCGGTCACAACCTAGATGTGGTCCAAGAGCCGAAAATGAGAGTGACCCTCAGTCCTCCTGACGCTCTGCCTCCCAGGAGGAGGAGGAGCATCAAGAAGAAGAAAGAAAAACATCTGAGCGGGGGTCAGGATCACATCGGTCCACTGAAAAGGTGGAGGAGGATCGTTCCAGAGGTGAACTGTCCTAAGGGGGCGCTCTGCCATGAAAAACTTGTAAGTTTATGTGAGTGTTAGCAAGAATGAAAGCTTTTCTGCGAACACGTCAACAAACATTTCAAAGCAGTTAATCTGTGAATCAAAGCTTCCTATCGTCTCGTTCAGTATGAATCACGCTGCACGGTGAACAGCTCCTTTCTCATCTTGTGTCCGACTCCTGCTGTGGGTCCAGAGGCCAGAGGAGCGAGAGTTAAAGTTCACTTCATGTTGGACAGCCTTCGTTTCGACTTTAGCACCGTGAGTAACGAAGCTTTCAGCTACGAGCCCAACCCCAAGCTCTACAAGCTGAACAAGAATGACTCGAGCAAACCATACCACCACAAACCTGGCAGCATCATCTCTGTTGAGGTGAGATTAATTATTCCTTTATTTTTCCAGACAGTGCTCATTGTAAACCTTTTGCAGCTGATATTAAAAAGTAAAATAATCGTCCTGTTTTAGGGAGAGTTCCTGGATCTTGCCATGTACAAGCAGGAGGTGGAGGCTCGGATCGGGGAGGGTTTGTGTTTGGTGAAGACCCTGACGCACAACCACCTGTACTGTGAACCACCAGCCCAGCAGCCTTCTGTCACAGCCAGCAGGAAGCAGGATGGCGTAGACAGTCTGCCCGAATTCACTGTAAATCACAGTTACACACAAACTATTTACTTTTTGTAAAGATTTAAACCTAAACTGTTACTAAAAGCTCTTTTAAACGTGTGGTCTGTAAACGTGTCTCCCAGGTGAAAATGGGAAATCTGAATTTCTCCCTGGGAAAAGTGCAGTACGACAGCCATGCTCAGTCTACATTTCCTCTGGAGGCTCAGGTGGGAGTTGGGGTTGGAGCTTCCATAGTGGCTCTCATAGTGCTCATCATAGTACTTATATACAGGTAAACCTATAAAAAGTATTGTCTTAAAAACTGCAAAATTCAGTTCCCGTTTTTGTTAATCTTTATTTTCTACATTAATATGGTCTGTGGGTCCCTGCTGTTTTGTCAGGAGAAAAAGTAAACAGGCCATGAGGGACTATAAGAAGGTACAGATCCAGCTTGAGAACCTGGAGACCAGTGTCAGGGATCGCTGCAAGAAGGAGTTCACAGGTAGAGTCCAGGTTTTGCTACATGTTTTTGCTCGTCTCTAAAAAAATCAAATCTGTATCCAAACTGAAAGCATTCGTTCTCGTTTTTAGACCTGATGACGGAGATGATGGACATGTCCAGTGATTTGGTGGGCTCGGGTATTCCCTTTCTGGATTACCGGGCGTACGCAGAGCGTATTTTCTTCCCAGGCCACCAGGAGTCGCCACTGAGACGAGACCTGGACGTTCCAGAGAGTCGGAGGCAGACGGTGGAGCAAGGGCTGGTCCAGCTGTCCAATCTGCTCAACAGCAAACTCTTTCTCACCAAGGTCAGTTTGTTGTAGAAGGTGTGATGTACAGGGATTAGAAGAGCAACTAGCTTGCCGTGTGTCATCCAATTTTAGCTCTTTAAACATTTGCATTTACTGTTTGTTGGAGTGGAGATCACTGTTATCTACCACCATCCCAAATTTAAGCCAGATATTTTTTTAAATGGCTTAGTTATGGCCAATTTTGCATTTTAGCTATGGCAGCCATATTGGATTTTTGATTTGGCATCAGTGTAGGGGTTTTGGACATTTTTAACATGATAATTTATGGATTATTAAAATTCATAAATTAGCTTCCTCGGAGGCACCACTTCTCTTTATTTGGTTAAGAATTATGACCCAGGAAAGAGAAGAAAAACTGTAACTTTATTACCATTCAGTCTCAGTTAAATCAGTACCCAAAATTAATGATGAGTTCTTGTCTTAGACAAGCCAATAAAACTTTATTAAGACACAGACATTAACTACATTTGACATGTTCTCCACATGTCTTTTATTTTCAAATTAAAATGTATTTACAAGCTATGGCAGGTATGAAATAATGACATCTTGAAGAAGGGTAAATACTGAAATAGTTGAGCAAGTGAAAAAATAAAACAAACAAACACACAAACGAACAAACAAATGCTAAAATAAGCACTAAAAGGGTTTTGAGGCAGAAATGGTGGGAGTTTTCTTAAGGATGAGAGTTTAAACTAGGTCCTAGTTAAATGAGGGATGCTGCAAAGTTTAGATTTATCAAATCTCATACGAAGGTGAGAATCAATGTAACCTGAGCATCTGAGCACCCTTTTTGTCACCAGCAAAAAGCTTAATTTTTCCTACCCGTCTTTCTGCTGAGTTCGGTACCAGAGCAGGGCGTCGGCTAAGAGGAGAACTCTAGGTGATGTCCCCAAAGAACTGCTTCAGCGGAGCAGCTGGTCAGACACCCAGAGTGCCTGTGTGATTCTTCTGGTCCTTCAGTCAGGAACGGGGTGACCATCTGGTGAAGGTGGGGAGAGCTTGTCTCCGTTGGATGCTTCAGAGTGGGAGTTGATCCAGACTTCATAGAGAAAAACAGATTAAAACGACGCATGGAGTTAAAATTAGCTTATTTAACTTTCTATAAAAAATCAAGCTCATGTGCCGAGCCGACACGATACTTGGATGTTATGAAGAATTCATAAATTAGCTTCCTCGGAGGCACCACTTCTCATAATTCTTAACCAAATTAAGAGACGTGGTGCTTCCGAGGAAGCTAATTTATGAATTTTAATAATCCATAAATTATCGTGTTAGAAATGCCCAAAACCCCAGCATCAGTATGTGATGGAGAGTAGCTACCACCGCACCAAGTTTTAGCTAAAAGTGTTTTAAAATGGCAGAGTTTTTGCAGTTTCAAATTAGTAGTTTTCAGCTTTGTAATTCCTAAATTGACTGTGTTATGGAAATATTTCATTAACAAAGACAGAAATACGTGATCCAAGAATGAAGGTGCTCCGTGGGATGATCAGCTGAGTTTTATTTGCAGCAACAGGAACACAGAGAACATCGAGCCATCAGACGTCCCCTGCTCTCTGCTTCTGTTTCCTCTGCTTCTGAAGCAGTTGAGGCCTCATATATACTGTTTAACAAACACTATTATGTCATCTTAATAAAGCAAGATTTCATCCTAAGGAAATACTAGGTCAAGGGAAAACACAAAGATAAACAAGTGATATTTAAGAATGACTGTTGTTAGCAAATCTTGTTCTGACTTTGATCGGATAAACAGCATGTTATGAAAACTTAGGTCATTAAAGTATGTCATGAATTACTGGCTTAAACCTAAAAGTATTGGTTCCAATCACACAGCACCAATGTTCATCACATCTCCATATCGTCCCTCTAGTTTATTCACACACTTGAGACCCAGCGGACGTTTTCTCCCAGGGACCGGGCCTACGTGGCCTCTCTGCTGACCGTAGCCCTTCACGGTAAACTGGAGTACTTCACAGACATCCTCAAGACTCTGCTTAATGACCTGGTGGAACAATATGTGGCCAAGAACCCCAAACTCATGCTGAGGAGGTGAACATTACCAACTAGTGCTTGATTGTGAACGAGGATTGATTTATTTTCCATCAACATATAGCTCATGTGCGCAATTTTTCTTTTTTTCTTCCAGAACGGAATCAGTGGTGGAGAAGTTGTTGACAAATTGGATGTCTATTTGCCTCTTCACATTTTTGAGGGTTTGTACTGCAGGGTGTTACTTCTCACCTGTTCGTGGCTTTTTTATCATAATACAAGAAAATCTGTCCAAATAAGAGAAAACAGCACGACGGTAAAACACTATGTCTCAGAGAAATTTAGTTGGTCGTAAAAGAAGGATGTTTAGGCCCGGCTGATGAAAGTGAAAAAGAACAGTTTGTTCCCTTTCAGTCAGTTCACTCAGTACAACACATCATGTACGGGAAGCCACGCCCCTGCGTGTCCTGGCTGAAGCCACCTCTAATCACGCCTTTAGGCAGGTGACGTGATGACGACACATGTCAGGCTCCGCCTGCACATATATATACTGTCGCATCACAGTCACTCCTTAGTTGTATTGCTCTTCACCTCGCAAGAACACCCACCTCTTCCAACCTAGCTAGTTAGCTGCTGCTAATTAGCTTTGTTTGTTCGAAGGTTCTCGGATTTAGTTTAACGGCTTTTGTTGGTGTCAGCTGCAGCTGCCTACTGGTAACTGTGTCTGCCCGCGGAGCGCTAACTTTGAGAAACCTTTTCTTACCTCGACAATAATTTTGTGGTTCGGGATGAGCACAAAAATACTCAAGAAGAAGCAGAAGTCTTCAGTTCGCCCCTGTCCCCAGGGGTGCGTCTTCTCGCTCCACGAAAAGGACCAGCACGAGGCTTGCCCGGTCTGTCTGGGGATCGTCCACGTTCGTAGGGCGTTGATGGAGCCCGAAGCGTGTGCGTTTTGTCGCCTGCTTCGACGCTCAACCCTGGAGAGACGGGTTAAGTTCTTGGAGAAAGTGCTGGGCGAGGCTGCAGTCGCGCGTCAGGACCCTCTCCTCTCCGAGTCTAGCAACCCAGTTCCGTCCGAGTCTGACGAGGAGGAGCCCTCAGTCAAAGTCCCCGCTCCCAGCTGGGCAGACCAAGTGGAATATATGGAGGGGTTAGCCGACGAAGAGGAGGAGGCTTCCCAGTTTCATCTGGACCCCCACCACGGAGGGGAGGCCGTGCTGGATATCGGCCTGGATGTGCATGGTCTGTCGGAAGACGACGATGAACCCGGTCCGAGTCCAGAAGCCCCCGCTGCTGCGGGTGCTGACCAGGACACGTCTTTTCTTTCTTTATGTCGTCGCACGGCTCAGAAACTGGAGGTGGAGTGGCCTGCTCCCCCTCCTGCACAAAAACCGTCGTGGTTCGCTGGATTTTTCCTCCCCACTGAACCGACCGTGGTGAAAAACCGCCTCCCCATGTTCCCAGACTTCGTCTCGGAGCTGACGTCCTGCTGGACCAGACCTCTGTCCACCCGCGTCACAGTGCCCGGTTATAGACCGTATTTGGACTTGGAAGGAGCTGAAAAAGCTGGCCTGGTAAACATGCCCCCCATGGAGCCGTCCCTAGCAGCTTATCTGGCCCCGTCTCACAACCATGGTGTGAGCGGGCCCACCACGCTGCCTTCCAAGCCVTGTAGATTTTCTGCTGCGCAGCTTGAAAAAATCTACTACGCTCAGGCCACCGCCGCTCGCGGCCTGAGCTCCATCAGCATGCTCCARACTTACCAGGCTATGGCTCTGGCAGAGCTCGGAGCTCAGGTACCGGCCGAGAGTCCCCTGCTGCCTCTCCTTAACGAGATCCGACTCACCGCGGACTACATCCTCCGTGCGTCCCGCGGCGTAAGCGCTCTCCCTGGGCAGAGGGATGGCCTCAACCGTGGTGGCGCAGAGACATTTGTGGTTGACACTCTCTGATGTCCCCAACAGAGACCGGGCCACATACCAGTTATGGCGGCCGGGTTATTCGGTCAGTCTCTGGATGTTATTCAGGCGAAGTTCGAGCTGAGTAAGAAGCAGGCAGAAGCTCTGCGCTGCATTATCCCCAGGCGGTACTCGAGACTTAAGACCAGCACACAGAAGCCGCACAGCCGCCTCCGGCGAAGAGAACGGTGCTGCCCGGGAGCCTAGCCTGCCTGGGAGCCATGGTGCTGCTCTGCGGGGCGTTTATATATGTCCCATACATGATGTGTTGTACCGAGTGAATTGACTGAAAGGGAACGTAATGTTATGCATATAACTACTGTTCCCTGAAGGAAAGGAACGAGGTACAACACATGGAGGCCCCGCTGCACAGCTGGGCTCGGTGAAGAGCAGTTACTGAACTAAGGAGCGACTGTGATGGCGACAGTATATATACAGTATGTGTAGGCGGAGCCTGACATCTGTCGTCATCATGTCACCTGCCTAAATGCGTGATTAGAGGTGGCTTCAGCCAGGACACGCAGGGGCGTGGTTCCCATACATGATGTTGTACCTCGTTTCTTTCCTTCAGGGAACAGTAGTTATATGCATAACACTACGTTCTGTAATGGCTCCTAAATAACTGAAGACTTTCTGCTTGGCCAGGAATCAGCGGGGGAGTCGTTTTACATGCTATTCAGAGCTATAAAACACCAGGTGGACAAGGGGCCTGTGGACGCCGTGACAGGAAAAGCCAAGTACACCCTGAATGACAACCGGCTGCTCCGGGAGGACGTGGAGTACCGTACGCTGGTGAGAACACATGGGAGCTACCCATGTCTACAAATGGTTTTAGTGTCGTGTTGTGATTTGTAAAGATGGTTTCTATATTTGACTACATTTTATGTTATATCCACAAGTTATTTTCCCCTAAACAAAACCTAATGAATGTAGCTGCAGTTATTAATCTTCTTTAAATAAGTTAATACATGTAAACGAAAGAGGATTAGGGTCATTGGGGAAAAAATAATTCTGACTTTAATTTCAGAATTCTGACTTTTTTTCAGAATTTGAGAATTCTGAGTTTAAAGTGAAAGATCAGACTTTTTATATTTTTTCGGACTTCTGAGTTTAAAGTGAAAATTTTGACTTTTTTATTTATATTTTTGGAATTCTGAGTTTATTGTCAAAAATCAAGCTTTTTTTCTCAGAATTCTGAATTTAAAGTAGAATTCTGACTTTTTTCAGAGCCAAAAATCTGACTTTTTTCTCAGAATTCTGAGTTAAAAGTTAAAAATTAGACTTTTTTTTTTCCAGAATTCTGAGGTAAAACTCAGAATTCTTTATTTTTTTAGTGGCCCTTATCCTCTTTCGTACTTGTATACTTTAACAGGGATGTGTCAAATTAAAACAAACCAGTGCTACATTTATGTGCCAGTAAATTGCAGATTATTACATTTTGTTTCTGAAAACCATGGATCTTGTCTATAACTAAGAATAACGGTAAATAAATAAAATAAAGAAAGAAATAATAACCTATGTTTTCGATTTTTCAGACTCTAAATGTTGTGACGCCGACTGCAGCCGCTACCGGAGGCACCACCAACCAAACGGTACCAGCCAAGGTGCTGGACTGTGACACCATCACCCAGGTGAAGGAGAAAGTTCTGGAACAAACCTGGAAAGGAACTTCATATTCTCAGAGGCCGCATGTCGACTCGTTACATCTTGGTTAGTTTGGACTTCACACTTTCTCCCTGCAGCTACATCTTTCAATCCACTTTTGAATAGATGAACCATAATCTCCTCTCTATCTAATAAAAAAAGTTGCACCCACACAGTTTAAATCATCGTCCAAAATAAAAACAAATATATATATAAGCATCCAAATGGGCAGAAAGGACGAGAACCGATCTGTTTCAGGCAGGATGTGAACTTGAGAGGAACACGTTAGCTGTTTGTTTATAATGTTTCTTTCAGGTCTTTAAAGAGCTCTCATGTATGCATGAACATGTTTTCCTCCAGAGTGGCGGGCAGGTGTTGCAGGTCACCTGATCCTATCAGATGAGGACCTGACATCAGTAGTACAAGGCTCCTGGAAGCGTCTCAACACTTTGCAGCACTACAAGGTCACTTTCACAAAGATACACCGTCATTTAGCTAAAAATCATGTTTAAATTGATAAAGTCTTTTTTTTCCCCTCAATGTGAGAAAGTTCTGACTGTCCCTGCAGGTCCCTGATGGAGCCACTGTGGCTCTGGTCCCCAGGAGCATCAAACATCACCTCCACGACAGCCATGATTACATGCCTGGAGAGAGTGAGTCACAAAAACACAGCAATACAGAATAAGCAGTATAAATAAAAGAAAAAAACTTAACGGGAATCAGAAATATGTTCTTATGTAAAGAGAAATTTTCAGTCATTTCTTTATTTTTTCCAGCATCAGCAGAAAATACTTAAAATGACCACCAGAGGTCGCTGTTAGACTGAATATTATAAATTTGAATTATTAGATCAGGGATGGGAAAAATAAGTGATGTAAGTTTTTGTTGACACTACCAGAGGGCCACACAGAGCTGCACACTTACCTAAATATAATAAAACGGAGATTTTAGATGAAGGTGAGAGTTTGTGAGTTGGAGAATAATCTTTTGTTGTTGTTGCAATCTGTAATTGGGTTGAAACAATATATTATTCATCATAAATAGTAGTTTTTCTCAGTTCATGAAGAGTAAAACATTTTCTTCATCTTTTAAGCCGTACTCATCCAACTGTTTGTCCCGCCTTACCAGAGACCCCGATGCTGGATGATGGGGAGGAAGGTGGTGTGAGACTTTGGCATCTGGTAAAAGCCAGCGATGAGTCCGAGTTGCCGAAGCGCCGGAGAGGCAGCGTGAGGGAGAAAGGTGGTGAAAGGGCGAAAGCTATTCCCGAGATCTACCTCACACGTCTGCTGTCCATGAAGGTAAAATCCACAAATCGCTGCCGTCAATCTTTGATTGATACATTTTAAATGAAACTATTATTATAAAGAAACATTGGGTACCACTTTACAATAAGGCTCCCCTTTAGATGACATATAAAGGTGTAAACATTTCAGACTAGGTTTCTAACTTGTAAACACAATAATGTATTAGAAACACATATTTTACACATAATACTGTGCTGTATTACTGCATTATGACATTTATACATGTTTATTAGTCATTAATAAATAGTGTACTCTCTTACACTTTACAGTAAGGCTCCCTTTGATAGTTGTGGATATGTATAATGCAGTAATACAATTATTTGTAAATTGCGTTTCCAATACATCATTATGCTTACAAGGTAGAAACCTAGTTTGAAATGTTTAATATAGCACCTTTAGATGTAATATGAACAGATTTGGCTCACAATTTGGCAAGAAACCGGACAGATTTGTCTTTTTCTCGTCCTTAATTAATACATAATAAACACTTATTAAATATTTTTAAGAGGTGCCTTATTGTAAAGTGGTACCAAACTTTGTCTCATTATTTACATTTCATCAGAAATCTTTTATCCGTTAGGATCTAATGTGAGCCTACAATATTAAACACATATGAAATATTCATTTTTATCATATATGTAATCAACGCATCGTGTAAGAATCATTTTTACTTTACAAAGAACCCTTTCAGACACTTTACAGTTGCAGTGAGCTGGAAGGTAATTTGTTGGATAAATTTAAAATAAACTCCAAGTAGCATTTTATAAATTTACAATAAGACTTCCTCGTGCAGTCAGAGTACTGTTAATTTATTAATGTGCATCCCCAGAATAAAAACAGGGCTCTGTATAATAAACTACAATGGATCCTGTATTTCCCAGAATGCACTGTGCCTCCTGTTATATCCCGCTTCTTTAAAGTTTGTTCCCATTTTTTGCATTTTTTTCTACTTTCTCCTTCTGAGAATGATGAATGCTTTAAATACTGATTTTGTTTGTTCGTTTATTCATCTGTCTTTGCAGCCAGTGCCTGTAAATTCATGCTAACTGAGCTGTATGTGTAAAATCAGAGGAGTTTCCCCATCAATGAAAGGATCTCGCCTTTGTTTCAGTGCTCATTTATTTCTGTCACATTCTCTGTGCTGTTGCAGGGCACTCTGCAGAAGTTTGTGGACGATTTATTCAGTGCCATCCTCAGCACCAGTCGCCCCGTGCCTCTGGCTGTTAAATACTTCTTCGACCTGCTCGACGAGCAGGCTCTGCAGCACAGCATCACAGACCCCGAGACCATCCACATCTGGAAGACCAACAGGTAACTGACGTTCGGAGTACTGGAGGACCCGACCCCTCGATGCTTCACGAAGAGACATAAATTTTTTCTCGTAACAGAAAACAGTAGAACTTCAGCATCCATTTGATTTCCTGTTTCATCAAACAGTTTGCCGCTTCGATTCTGGATCAATATCCTGAAGAACCCGCAGTTCATCTTCGACGTGCAGACCTCGGATCACGTAGACGCCGTGCTGTCCGTCATCGCTCAGACCTTCATGGATTCCTGCACCCTCGCTGACCACAAGCTGGGGAGGGTGAGTTCATCCAACAGGACCCTGACAACATCGACACCAGTGATAAAACACAAAAAACATCATCAAAAACTGTAAAGCTGGGCCTTAGTTAGGTGTTGACTATACTGCAGAAGATGACAATGCCGTAAAGTGATATTTAATGCACTCAGCTTGGTTATTTTACCTGTTTTTGTATGATTCACAGAACCTTTTTCTCCATTTTCTCTGTGCAGGATTCTCCCATCAACAAGTTGTTGTATGCCAGAGACATCCCACGTTACAAACAGATGGTGGAGAGGTAAGAATATGGCAGCCAGTCGCCCCATTGACCCCAGGCATAAAAAACCTCTTTAGAGGAGAGGAGAGGGAGGGAGGGAGGGAAGCTGGGGACATCTGTTAGTGGCAGACAGAAGGTAGACTAAGCCTGCAAGGCGTCCATGCATGGATAGTCTGGAAGCAGACTGCTACACTTACTACTGTCAACTGCACATAAAATCCTGCAGATTGTACTACTGATATAATAAATGTTCACTGAGCAGGAATTTCTCTAACAAATGAGCCTCTTTAATTGACCTCATTAGTTTTATATATATATGTTGTATATACATATTTTTACATGCAGCTTTGTTTCTCTCTCTTTCTCCAGGTACTACGCTGACATTCGACAGACCATTCCTGCCAGCGATCAGGAGATGAACTCGGCTCTAGCAGAACTTTCCCGTGTATGTAGTTTTCCCATTTTAACCTCCACTTTAAACAATATAAAATAAGATTTCAGTTGACCAGATGCATGCATAATTAAGGCTCTTTCAGAAGACACCTCAGTCACGGACTGAGAAGTGTGTTCTGGCCAACTCTGTGTCACATCTGAACAGGCCGGGGTGACAACATGGGGGTCTAAGCCAGGCCACCTCTGGTTCTCTATATGCTGCCGGGCGAGGTAGTAATAGATGTAGACTAGTCGACATGTGAAAAACTAAAGTTCTGCTCTGCCCGCTACATTATTTCACTGAAGTGTTTTATGAAAGAGCCTTAAATTAGGCAAGGATGTTGGATTCAAATACTCTCAGCAATTATCCTTCTTATCACTTTCTATTATTTTGACCCAAAACAGAATTACACAGCTGAGGTGAACTGCCTTGTGGCTTTACATGAGCTGTACAAGTATATCAACAAATACTACGATCAAGTAAGTATTACTTTTGTACACTTATTTTCCACTGGCTTTGCAGTAGCTGAGTCTTTAGATCAGGGGTGGGTAATCCTGGTCCTCGAGGGCCCCAGCCCTGCATATTTTACTTTTTTTCCCCTCACCAACACAGCTGATTCAGTCATTGAATTACCTCTTCCAAGTTCTACAGAAGCCTGACAGTCACCCAGTCATTCAAATCAGGTGTGTTGGAGCAGAGAAACAAGTAAAACATGCAGGGATGTGGACCGAGATGTCCACCCCTGCTCTAGATGGTACATAAGCTTTTTTTTATGTTTTATGTTTTATTTTTTTATTTTATTTTATTTTTTTCTTTAGGTGTAGCTTTAAGGTCTGATTTCATTACTTTTTGGAAAACAAACCCGTTTAAAAATGTTTTGGCTCACAAGCAAGTTGAGAAATATTTGGGGGCTTGTCCGGGATCATTTAAAATATTAGTGAAGAATTAAGTTTTTGCTGTAGAGTAAATTGAGGTTTATTTGATTTTTGACAAAAAAAAATCAGAAATGACTACTGTACAGTTGATTTCTTTCTAAATTTAGGATTATTTTATTAATTTCATCTACAGACACTAATCAAATATGTTAATATTGACAAAACAATACTGATAACAGTTAGTTTATAAAACATGTCGGTTTCCCCTAATAGTTGCATCTGGACTATTGCTTATTCTTCTTTATATCTAGAGTATATTTGTGGCTATTTGCAACCCACTTTTTTCTGTCTTTTTGTCAGATTATCACGGCTTTGGAAGAGGACGTTACAGCTCAAAAGATGCAGCTGGGTTACAGGCTCCAACAAATCGCTGCTGCTGTAGAAAACAAGGTGACAGATCTATGACCTCCAAACCACGACGGTTGGTTCTTTAAAAGGGGAGTTCAATAAATGAAGACATTGTTTTTCCCGGGAAAAAGAAAAAAAAACGATAAAGAAATATTGTGTATATTTGCTGTTTGAACAGACTGGTTTGACATGAATGGAGACTTTAGTGGTCTTTGTTTCCTGCTGCCTGCTTCAAACTTTCACAGGTCATGTTACTGGGAGTAAAGGATTCGTCCACCAATAAAGAGGAACAATGTGAGAAAATGTGAAACAAAGCACATTAAAATCTTCGACAACTATTTAGTATCTCTTCATTCAGTCCAGTGAAAGGATGTCAGGGTCTGAAGAGTCATTTTCGTTTATTTCTTCTTCCTGATGGACAAATTCCTAACAAACTGAACGGAACATTTCTGCCCTGAACTTACAGGTTTTTAACCTTCATTGTGCTGGAAGAAACATAAAAGATGCCATCATCTTTTTTGTTGACTGTGGAGTCTTTTTTGTTTTTTTATGTCTTACCTGCAGCGTCCACTGTCTAATTATTGAATCTGAAGGGTTTAATATTTACTTTTTTAGGCCTTTCTTCCAAGTCTTACTTTTATGTTTTGAGTTCAGTCAGTTTTGGGACTTTTTATATTTTTACATCTTTGTTTTTATATTTCATGTTTAAGAGATAAGTTGGAACTGAAGCTCAGTGTTTTGTTTTTAGGGTAACTCTTCACAAATGTTTAGAGACTTTTTAAATGCACTGCCACAAGCATCTTGCTCTAAGAAGATCCCTGAAAGAATGTCGTTTCTTCTACATGATTATAAAGTGAAACCTTTCTTAATTAAACAATGGATGTGAAAAGGTCAAATCATCTAGTATTAAATTCCTGAATTAGTACCACTGATATGTAAAACCAAAACAATACAGCTCAAAAATCAAAACAATTCACTCATAAGTTTGATATTCTTTTTATTCAGTCCTTTTTTATTTAAGGTCAGCTTCCTGTGTCCTGTTTTAGGAATTGTCAACATTAAAAAGGGTGTTTTCACTGTTTTTCTTTTCTCTGTGGTCACCTGAGGTCCACCTGTTTTTCCTGTAAAAGAAATATTTCCACAAACCAAACAGATATTTGTTTGTTTGTTTGTTTGTTTTTTGCCTTTACGTTTGTGGCGTTCAAGTGGTGCCAGATTGTTAGCCGTGTTGCAGCAAATCCAAACCTTTTGTTCCTCTAAATGTTTTCCCTTCATCTCAACACTTAAATCTGACAGTTTGATGTGAAACAAATGTCCCTGCTGCTCTGCAAAATTATTTAATTTATTGTTTATTTATTTTATTGCTTATGTTGGTTATTCCATTCTTGACCATTTTCTTTTAAAGCTTTTTGGTGCGTTTTGTTTTAGGTCAACTGCAAAGAATCAGAGGGAACAAAAATGTATTTTACAGTCAGCTTTTCTGATAATTACACTCCTATTCCATTCTGCTTCAATTTTAAACTAAATAGGAACTATGTTTTATAATGTTGCCATTACATTGTACATAAAAACGTTTTTACCATTCGCTCATGCACATTAATGTTTGCAGATTATCTGAGTTCTGATGCTTGTTCTGTAGATAAACACGGTTCCAAAGTAAACCTGACTTTAGTGTTCTCCAACTAACTGATAGGATGAGCCTAACAACAGCTTCATGTGATGCAATAAAGTGGTCCGTATGTCAACTAATGTCTGAACTATCCTTTTCTATTTGTTTTTTCCTTTGTTCATACACAATTATTTTAAAATAAAGCCAGCATACTTTGAAGGGTTAAAAATTGCGAAACACTGGCTCAATATGTGTTAAAGTAGACATGCTTTTATATCCTTGTTTAAATCATTCAGTTTGGGTTTTTATAAAGTGGAACTACAATGCTTTGGTCAGAATTCATTCTTATTCTAACTTTACCAGCCCCCCTTCACCACTTTTCTGAGGTGTGTCTCAAAGCATCTTGTTTGGTTACTGTTCCTTTAAGGCGCTTCAAGCTCCGCCCACTCTCTGGCTTCCAGACCGGTCCACTCCTAGCCTGGCCCTACTCTTTTCTCAGTAGCAGACGGTTGTTAACAGCGCACACAATTTCCAGTTAGCTTCTTAGCTTAGCCTCCTTCACGGTTGAGCTGGCGCACTGCACACATCACGGCTAAACATTCGTGACTGGGTAAATCAGATCCAATCGTTTTAAACTTCAACAGAGGCCACGCCTCCAACAAGAAATCGCTTCTGAACAGCTGAGAGTCCAGACCCTCTACGAAGCAAAGCGAAGAACAAGAGGCTGGTTTTTACCAGCCTAGTCCACTCCTGTTTGAGAGAGGGCGGTTACATTTTCTAGCATGTTGAAATGTTTTATAAACAATTTAAATAAAAGATGTAAACAACAGAAGACTTGTTCATCCAGCCTCACATGTTGGAGCCAGAAGCAGAATCTGACCCAGGTCCAGACCTATGGGTAATCTGTCAATTCCGTCGCAGATAATTTGACGTAATGATTCAGAAAACGTCAGAAAATGGGTTGAAAAATATGACTCAAACAGAATACAAAGATATCTTTGCAGCTCCAGGAGAGACTCAAATTTTCTGCCTCCTAGACTTCACAGCAAATGCATTTAACAGCTAAAAAATCGGATTTTGCATGATATGTCCCCTTGTAAAGTGGCTGAATTATAGCTTTCTTGTGTGTTGAGGAGCTTGTCTTGGTTGGACTGGCACCTTTGCACGTTAAGAACATTGCACCATCACAGCATAAAACTAATTTCTAAATGTATTTGTATATGAAAAAGCAATAAAAGTGATCTGTAAAGGAACAAAACAGAGCCGAAGCCTGCTCTGATTTGAGCACGTGGTGCCTGATTTTATGCATGTGGACTGTTTGAAACTGTTGTGATTTGAATGCCTGTCACCCAACCACCCAGGGGGTAATCCTGCAGCGTACAAGGGTCCTGAGTGAAGCTTTTAGCACCTTAAAAATAAACATCTTGACCATCGTGACGTCATCATTCTGCTGACTGAACCCACAGCAGAACAACTGCAAAGGAATACGGGTCAGGTAGAAGTCTGTTTTATTGTACAAGTTGGATTAAAATAACATTTGCTTTGCTTTTTGAATCTCTGCTCTTCATTAACCCACTGATCCAGATCCAGGGTGGACTGTGTCCTCACGCCTTTTCTGTTTGAGAGTGGAAACAGCCTCTTGGGGGTCAGCTAAAACAGGAAGGAGAGCTGGTTACTGCCAGGTTTTGTGCTGAAGGTCAGGGCGCTGAAGCCAGGTTTAGCCTCCTGCGATCCCCGTGGTCCAAAAGTCAAACTCGCCATTGGTCTCATGTGACACGTTCCTCTCACCTTCCAGGGGCCTCTGCTCTTTTTCCACAGAACAGGAGAAATCAAAGAGCAGAGAAACACAGAAGCAGCAACATTTCGACTCAATCAGAAGCGACTGAAGTCGGGGAATCAAACAGGAAAGCGGGCGAGAGCCTGACAGCGGTGAGGTAAGTGTCTGTTGGGGATTTCCATGTTTGGATCCTGCCGCTGTCAGCCGTGACGAGAGGTCAACCCACCCGCCTTCACCTCCGCCACAACTGTTTCCAACTGCTGCAGCGCTGAGGTGAAACCGTTCTGTTCTTAGTGCTGCTCATTTCCTCTTTTTTTGTCCAGAGTTGACTTTCAGCACTTGCAGGCTGCAGATTACCAACACCTTTTTTTTTTAAATCCAGGATTACAGATGTGTCTGCTGAAGTAAACAATGCAGAAGTGTTCCTGTTGGGCTCCAACAGCTGCACAGCAGTTCTCTGTGTAAGTACAGCAGTTTGAATCCCAAGATGTTTCCTTACTGGGCTGTTTGTTTGCAGTTTTACTCAGAATCTGTCAAGTAGAGACAGACTAATCAGCTGATTATTAAGTCAGTAAACTTTTTTTTTGAATGACAGGATTAAATGTCAAAGTCAGTTTATTTATACAGCTCATAAAAACACGAGTTGACCAGAGTGCTTCACGGTTCAGCCAAATAAATGAATAAAACGATAAAACAACACAAAAATGTAAAAAATAAGTAAGATCAAATTAGAATAAAGAAACACAACATTTTAAACATTGGCTTTAAAAGAATCTCAAACTCTACCAGAATGAAAGGCCAAGGACTAAAGATGAGTTTAAGCATGGATTTAAAAGTCTCAACAGTTTTTCAGTTCCTGTTAAAAGATGAGCTGCTGCTTTCTGGTTGATTTGCAAACGATGCAGAGAAGATTTACCAACATACAAAAATTTGATCCAAATGATTTTAAAAAACATGAGCTTCACAATACAAAGTGTTAAGCAAACCTGTTAAACTGCTTTTTAAAAAACCAACTGAATCAAGACAACACGTTCCACGACCTGGGGGCTGCAACCCGAGGACCTCCGGCTGTGAGAACTGACCTCACGAGGCTCTAAACGTCAGGACTAAAATTTTAAACCCAACTCTAAAGTGGATCAGAGTTCAGTGTAAAGAGACGAAAACAGCTGGAATGTGTCGTCTCTTCCTCGTGTTCGGTAAAAGTCTTCAGCAGCAGCGCGTCGATACCGACGTTAATGCTGATACATCGTGCATCCCTGAACTTTTGCACAAGAGATGGGATATGATGGCCCCAATTCAGACTTTGACACTGGAAGAAGCTGTTTTTAACCAGTTCTCTAAAATGATGCTCAAACACAACGTTGAAGTTTCTGCACTGCAAAAACTGTCCATCTTACCAAGTTATTAAAATCTTATATCAGCCAAAAAGTATTTTTGATCTTGTTTTGAGACTGATTTACTAAACAAGAACTGATTGTGTAAGAATAATAATCTTGTTTTCAGAATGTGTAAGATTATTTGTCTTGTTAGTCTGAAAATTTGACTCAAATTAAGTCAAACATTTCTGCCAGTGGAGTAAGAATATTTTACTTAATTTGACTCAGTTTTTTCTTATTTCAAGAATCTTACCAAGTAAAATGTTCTTACTCCACTGGCAGAAATGTTTGACTTAATTTGAGTCAAATTTTCAGACTAACAAGACAAATAATCTTACACATTCTGAAAACAAGATTATTATTCTTACACAATTAGTTCTTGTTTAGTAAATCAGATCAAAAAGACCTTTTGGCTGATATAAGATTTTAAAACTTGGTAAGATGGACAGTTTTTGCAGTGTAGATGTGTATTTTGAGGGAGCCTCTTCTAGCTGACCTGAACCATTTTAGGATTATTTTAGGCATCACAGAGATGACCTCAGTGTTTGTTTAAAGCTCCAGATGGTGAAATTTAGTGAAATATTTGAAATCCCTGAGCGTCGACGGCTCATAGAACCCTGATATCGGCTCACAGACATGTTCACAACCAAGAAATGCACATAAAGAAGAATTTGTGATTATTTTCCTCTCAGACGTGACGGATGTGACGCTCAGCAGCTGGGACTGGGAGGTCTCGGGTTGCACCGACACACTGTAAAGTGATTTACAGCAGAGTCAGAAATAGTGCGACTTCCGATGCTATTTGTCTGCTGGTAACTGGGCAGTCGGACAAGTTTCCACTGGAAACTGAACCTGTGTGAAACTTCAAAAAGCGCTGAACTCGTCTGCTTTAAAGACTCTCCAAACACACAGAATCCAGCCTTTAGGAGACATTTCTGTGCTTGCAGGTGTGCGGATCATTTTAAAGCCCTCGGACGTTCCGAGCAGCTCAGCCCTAAGGACCCTCAGGACTCTGAAGACCCCAGAGATTATTGTAATGGTCTGTAGAGGCTCTGCAGACGACATTAAACCAAACAAAGTTCTTCTTTTCTGCAGGAGGCAGATTGAACGTGAGGTAAACCTGAAGTAGTCCTCTGTTTCTCCCCGTTTCCTGCCTCAGGTGGGTACCACCCTGTCCAGGTGGGTGACACTTTCAACGGGAGATACCAGGTGGTGTCGAAACTCGGCTGGGGCTTTTTCTCAACCGTGTGGCTCTGCGTGGACCTGAAGTAGGTCCAGCTAATTCTCCCCCCAAACAGGAGGAGCCTCTGCTGGGTAAAACATGATACAGGTCTGGGTTGTCTGTGTTGGCAGGTCGGGTCGCAGAGTGGCAGTGAAGGTGCTGAAAAGCGGTGCTGGTTTCACGCAGGCGGGTCAGGATGAGCTGGCTCTTCTGAGATGCGTCAGTGACCTGTTCATGTCTGCCATGTGGTCACAGTGATTGTTCCGTTCCTTTTTCTTCAACATGTAAGAATAAAAAAAATTCCCTCTGTTTTACCCTCCTCCTCTCCTGTCCTGCATCAGGCCACCGGTCCTGCGGGTCGGCACCCCTCCAGTCGTCGAATTGTTCAGCTGCTGGATGAGTTCAAGCTGGTCGGGGTCAACGGGGTCCGTATCCTTCGCTGTCATTTCTCGGCCAGACATTTTTAAAACTCGACACCTGGGGGGGATGGAGGACCCTCGTTTTATGTGCGACAGAACCACTGAAGTGCATCGTCAGATTGTGACGATCAGTGTACCTCAAAGTGATACTTGAGTAAAAGTACAAGTATCTTATCATAAAAATACTTTGGTAAAAGTTAAAGTCTTCTCTAAAAATATTACTTGAGTAAAAGTCTTAAAGTATCTGATATGTTTTGTACTTAAGTATCAAAAGTAAATTTCTGACACAAAATCTACTTAAGTATTAAAGTAAAAGTACTGAGTAAAAGTGAGCAGTTAGATTTTCCAAAATGACATTTATTGGGAGGTGATTTCTCAAAAAAACATTTTTTTAACAGCGTGCAGCTGTGATGGACTGTGTACAAAGTATCAAAATAGTATATATTTACAGTATACTTCTCATCCAACCACAATTAAATTCACTATCCAGGAGACACAATTTATCAGGACAGTATTTTTTTTAAATAATAACCTGGAAAAAAATAAGAGAAACAACTTTCTACTTCTTACCTTTTTGAAAAATGTAAGGAGCAGAAAGTACAGATAATTGTGTAAAAATGTAACGAGTAAACGTAAAAAGTACTCTGGTAAAATAGTTACTCGAGTAAAATACATTTAACCAAAATTTCTAACTAAGTACAGTAAAAAAGTATTTGTACTTATACTTTACAACTGTGGTGAAACTGTGAATTTATCTAAAAATGGGTTTTAGCTGATCTTAACCCCTGATGGTCAGACATGTGCCTGGTACTGGAGCTGCTGGGACCTGATCTTAAAAGCTGGCAACTGTGTTTTTGGAAACTGGGACTACCGCTTCCATGGGTCAAGCAAATACTAACTCAGGTGAGTTAAACAGGACCAAAAAAAAGCCCCCATAAAACAGACAGGAGTAAATGTAACCCCTGCTTTTTGTCAGATTAAAACAGCATCAGGTGTTTTGTTTAGCTCTTTGTAAAAAAGTTGTCAAGTAAAACTGGAAAAATATAATTTTCTGCAAAAATAGTGTTAAATCTGAGCGCTAACGTTTGCTAAAAAAGTTTAAACTGAGTTGTTACGTTAAAACAAGCAGATGATACAAAAACAAACGAAAACATGAACAACAGTAAAACTGTTTAGAAGCTAAAAGCAGCAGGATGTTAACTGAATTTATTAAAGCAGAGGTTCTCAAACTGAGGTCTCAGGACCCCCAGAGGTCTGCAAGAGGTATCTAGGGGGTCTTCAAAAAATTTCACCATTCCATTTTTTCCATTTCCATCCATCCATTTTCTTCCACCTATCCGGAGTCGGGTTGCGGGGGCAGCAGCTTCAGAAGGGAGGCCCAGACCTCCCTCTCCCCAGCCACTTCTTCTAGCTCCTCCCGGGGAACTTCAAGGCGTTCCCAGG